TAGGGCCTGAAACAGTACCAGCTCCTCCTGGTGCTTTGCACATTCAAATTCCTGCTGCGGTGCGCGGGACCTGCAGACAGGGCCAATGGGGCAACTGCAACCCGGGTGGCATGTTTCAAGGGAATTCACGCCTGTGCGATGAAAGAAGCAAAAATCACAGCATGGCATTCCCTGGAGCTCTGGCTCCTGGGGACTTTGTAGGTCACTGCCACATCCCCAGAATACTGGATGTTCTGGTACTCCCAGGAACTGTCTCTCTCTCTCTCTCTCCTCCCACCCCACCAGTGTGACCTCACACACATGGTGCGTGCAAGGTCAGACCGGCCGGGGTGGCACGGCGTGCTCTTCAAAACGGCATCCCCCGTCCGCCATCCTGGACAAAACCACATCTGGTGTTGTCTCAGTAGTGGACAGGGGACAAAACCATGGGAAAAGAGGGCTGTCCAGCTTCAAACAGGACGAACGGCCTGGCAGCGCAGAGTAAGGGGGCTGCGGTGCTGGGATGGGGGACTCCGGGGGTTTTGCAGTCCACGAGCATCTTGCCCCTACAATTTCTGCTCTAAAGCCCTCTGGCACTTTTTGCTCCAGCTACCTGACCTGGTGAAACTCCCTCGGCACGCACGGCGCTGTAGCAGTGCCCCCCTGAAGCCCCATCCCTGCTCTCCCTTGCCTACCAAGTCTCCTTGCCCCTCTCCCGTGGCTCTGTCACCAGCACCGGCTTTGCTTGCCCCTCCACAGAGGGCGGCAGGCATGTGGGAGAAGAGTCTGTGTTATAACAGCCTCTCCCTCATCATCAAGAACATGAGGCATCAGCAACCCTAGAGGGACCACAGCTACAGTGAAAGCAAACAATGGCCAGCCCCAGAGACAACAACGCCCCATTGTCCTCCGGGGTGGGGAGGGACGGGATTACTTAATAGGACTTTTCCATTGCTAGTAATGAAACCATCACAATAAAAGACCAGCTAGAGGCTGCTTCCTTCTCCTCTGAGGGACATCTTGCTACAGTTGGGGTGCACGTGTGTCAGCCGGGGCATCCAGGACAAATCAGAGCCTGGGAGGTTCTATGGGGACAGCATGAGCTCCCGAATACAGACAGCAGCAGGGATACAGGGCATTGCTGCAGGGGGTGGGCCCGGGAATGAACGAAGCAGACTGTGGGCTATTGTTTCATTGTTATGGCTTCAAAGGACAATGGAGCATTGTCGTCTCTGGGGATCCCATTGTTTGCTTTCACTGCAGAGCCCAGCCACATGGTAGACGGAGGTTTCCTGAGGGCCAGGCAGGCTCTGTGAGGGGGATGCGGAATAAGGAGGCAGGCACATTTTCCAGAGTATGATCTGAGTGTGTGTGCACATGTGTATGCATGCCAGAGCACCAGAGTGCAGGGGCAAGCGTGCCAAGGCAGGTAGTCCATGGCAGTGTGAATGAGTGAGATTTTTATGTCCCCTCCCACCCATTGCAAAATCCTTCCTTCCTAGCAAGGGTGAGACACCCTAAAAGCTGCTCACAAATTAACCCCCAGCCAGGGAATGGTTCTACCACCAGGGGAGACTGCAGCCGATGAGTGTGGGGACCAAAGAAAAGGCGGAAGTCCCTTTGAAATTGCTCCTGCTTGTTCCTTACCCTTGGTGACTGGCAGGGGGTCCGCTCCCCACCTCCCTCACCGCAGTGAGTTTGGCCAGGCACCAAAGCAAACACCCACAGACATGCAAATGGTGCCCTTTGCATTGAAGGCCTGTTAAAGGAGGGGACTGGATACCCCTGTGATAGAGACACTTTCAGTTCCCTCACAGCCCGCAGGAGATTAACCCCTTCCAGGAGCAGGGCTGGCAGTTTCCAAGGGACCGCCAGGAAGTGAAAGGGATTTGGGCACCTTTCAGAAATGCTGAGAAACAGAGGGTCCAGGCTGCACTCTGCACTTCATTACACCTTTGATCTCAGGGCGGGGTGGAGACACCCTGCGTGACCAGGAGCAGAATCTGGTCCTCTGCATACAACCCAAACCCAGTCCCTAAAGATCACAGAGCCTCCTGCCATGAGCTGTAAAGGAACAGACGTGTGAAAAAGACTCATTTCCTGCCCTGAATAGATTCCTGCCAGGCCTCTGCTCCCCAGGAAGCAGGGTAACAGCTTGGAAGGAAGTGCCCAGGCCCATCGACACCAGGAAGTAAGGAGTAACTCAGAGCAAGCGAACATCCAGGGGAACCCCGGCTGGCTTGCACTTGAGGTCACTCCTCGCACTTGCCCTGAGCATCTTCATGCTCCCAGCTGGGAAGAGAACAAATGGATGCAAAGATGGAGCCAGCAGAAACAGCAGGTGGAAAGAAAGAGGAGAGAGAGCAGTTATTTTTCACGCTTACTGCGAAGTATCAGAGCCTAGTGACTAAAGCAATGGGGCTGGGAATCAGGACTCCCAGCTAGTGTGAGATTTTGCCAACTCACTGTAAAACAGGAAGCTTTTAAGCACATTCGGGCAGCACACCGGGCCCCCTGGATGAATGGCGCAAGAACAAAGGCTGATTATTATTTGGAGGAAGAGAGTTTGAGAAGCACAGATTGCCCCAATACACCCCCCAGGGCCAGATCTTGATCTCCTACCACATGGGGCATTTAGTACCTTAGCCTCGAGCAGTGCCGTTGAGAAGTAAGGCACTATGCCATGGAACTAAGGGGATCAGAATCTGGCCCTGTGGGGTACATTACGGTGATACCGGCTTCTCCATCCCTCCTCCTCCAAATAATAATAGTCTTTTTGCCCTGCTGTAGCACCTACCACACACAGTGCGAGACAGCCCCTGCCCTGGCGAGCTTGTGCTCTACACAGCTAAGACAAAGAAGGGCTGAACAGATCATTATCCGCATTTTACATATGGGGAACTGAGGCCCAGAGAGATGGAGTGACTTGCCCAAGCCCACACATGCAGGCTGTGGCAGAGCCGCAAGCTCTATCCAGATCTCCTGAGTCTCAGTCCAGTGCCTTCACCACAAGGCTATCCTTTCCCCCCAATGACCTGCGACTGAGCTTGCTCAGTGCCACTATCAGCTGTCTCAGGGAAGTGCCCAGCATCAGACTGGCTGCACTGAAGGGTGCTGGACTAGGCCTGTCTGACTGTGGTCTCCCAGCGACCCTCATGAAAACCAGATGCCCCTCTCTTGGGGCTACCCCAGGGAGCCTGTGTCCGGGAAGGTCTGAAAAGAGGGAGTTCTGCCAGAGAAGGAGTTTCCTGGTGGCACCAGGCTACCCTCAGCAGATGTAAAGCAGCGCAGCTCCGTTGATTCTGGTGGAACCATGTCCCCTTACACCTGCTTCAGAGTTTTCCCCTGGCGCCTCTTCTAATCTGGTACAAAAGCTGCTGAAGACCAATCCACCTGGAGCACCTCCCAGAAAGGGGCCTTTGCCCTATCTATAGCCCCAGCCTCACCCAGGAGGGGAAAGGAGGAAACGGTCCTGGTCGCTTGCCTCCTGTTTGCACAGCATCCCCAGCTGAGGGCCTATTTGCATTGCTCTCTCCTATGTAAAAACCTGAGCCCTATGCAAAGGGGTGAAAATAAACACAGGAGCAATTTTCTGTCTCCACCCCGAAAGGCTCAAAAGTCCCTCCAGGGACTCAAGATACTCCAGTGATGAGCAGAGGACAAAAACCTGAACAGAACAGAACAGGCGGGGGCCGATCACAGAGTGAGGACTGCCTCTCATCCTGTACAGCAGCCCCCGAGCAGGATGGCCCTGGATTGATCATCACCAGGATCCCTCCTGGCCTACGAATCAGTGAGAGAAAACTGCCCTCCTTGCAGACATCATTTTGCCATCAGCCTGGTCACAACTGCAGGGGAAGGGGAGACGCTCAGCCGTGGCTGTGAGAAGCAGGATGAGGGGACAGAGCAGCGAATCTATAAACTTGAGGGGGAAGAGGGAACATCAGGTCTTGTGAAACTCGATCAACCTGGGATGGCCTCATTGCCTTGCCTTGTAACATATACCCCCAGCCTCCCACACACTTCAGAGACAGACTCCGGGCAACAATAGGCCCCATCGGATTGGAACATACATGGCATTCCAGGTAACACACATACAGACCCCCCGAGGTACTCCATCCCCCACTGCAGCCAAGGGGCCCTTTTAGAGGAGCTGGGTAACACAGCCATAAACAAAAGCCACCAGCCCCCACCACCGCACACACTGCCAAAACAACAGCTCTTCGGTGACTCGCTGCCCACTAATGAGCTGAGATGTGGAACTGCACGTTCAGATTCTCAGTCCTGGACTCCTTCCCTGGACCTTGCCTAGGTGCCTGGTCATCCACCTTCCATCCCCACTAACTTCCATGAGTGCAGACAGCGCCCTGCACCTTGCAGCACCAGCCCCTTCGCACTGGGATCACGATACAGATGAGAACACAGGGAGTCCTCTCCCCTGCGCTTACCTTGGGTGGGGAGCAGATGCTCCCACAAAGCCTGGAGACAGGAAGGCATGTGTTTGGGAGTGCTTAGGTAGGCCCCCCCTTAGGGAGCAGGCACAGCCTGCAACCCCATCTATATAGTGACCTGAGGTAGGGCTAGCATCATTGCTCCACCCACCACACACCTAGGCCCACCTATTGCTGGAGAGAAGGTGTCTGGGGCTGGCTCCACGGGCAGAGTGAAGCCCCCTAGTGACACAGACAGGAGGGCGCTGTGAAGGAAACAACAATAAAGGCCATGCACAATAAGCCCCTAGGGTCACTCTGGTGTTGGAGGGAAGTTGGACTTTCCAGGCCCTGCTGATTGATCTGGCAGGGTGGAGGCTGTAACTGACGTGTTTATGACCCATGGGACCGATCCTGCCACCTTTGTTCCCCAAAATAACCTTAGAGATGTGAATGTGCTTCTCCTAGGGGTTAGTGTAGTCTATAGGAATGGGGCAGTATCCCTCCATTAGATAATTTGGGATTCTCTAGTGGGCCTCTGTCTCCTATTGCAAAAGCCATCAGAAGCTAACAGGGCAGCAGTGTACTTACCTAGCTAGGCCTTGTAGCTTTGTCTAGCGTCAGTAAATACAGGTCTTGGGAACCAAATGGTGTCCGTATGGTTTCCTCACATTCTCAGTGTTGCGTAGAAAGCAAAAAGTTTGGGGGATCACGTCTGGCTGGCTCTACGAACTGGATCCAACTCTGCAAGCAAACACAACAGCTCCGGTGGGTGTCCTTAAAATGTCACTGTTTACCATCTCCTGGGGCCAGATTTTTCCAAAAAGCTCAGCCCCCACAGCTGGGTCTGAATTTGCCAATGTGCTGAATGAGCTCTTCCGAAAAACCACCTAACAACTTGTTTCAGTGCGTTCTCAGGGGGCTGAACCTTTCTGAAAATTCCAGCCATAGTTCTTCTGTTTGCCGGGCTGGTCTCTGTACTTAGCATGGGGGCCGCTGCAAACAGCGTAGCCAGTTTAGGAGTGTCCGCTGGAGACAAATGCCCGGTTTATAGTGGTGTCCACTGTGCTATGCATGCTGTTCACATACAGCCATACGCATCTGTGCCTCTCTCCCTGGGAAAGCAGGTAGCAAGCATATGCCCCTACCTTTATGGAAATGTCCCAGAGGATCTGTAACTTCTGCGTGGTCAGCCCATTGCATCTGGGCAGAACCTCTACTAATGTATTATTATTAAGCATTTATATTATAGCAATGCCTATCCGGATCAGGTCTTGTTGCGCTAGGTGCTCCACAAACACAAAGAGACATTGTTTTGTTTGTTTAAAGGAAAGGAACACACTTTCAGCTAAGAAAATTAGTAAGCCCCTAATTCTGCCATTATTCACAGCAATCCCACTGTCATTGGGGTGAAAATCAGGGCAGAATCTGCCTCAAAATTGCTTATAACTCTAGTTTCAAAGGAGGAATTTCCTTCAGAATTAGTATGATCAGAAGTTAAGGGATGCAGTGTGGGGAAGGGGCTAGACCTGACACTCAGAGTCAGGACATCTGACTTCTAACCCTGCCACTGACTCACTGGTTGACCTGGGGCAAATCCCTTCCTCTCGCTCCATGCCTCGGTTTCCCCCTCTTTAAAATGGGGCTAGTGATACTTGATCACTTTTGTAAGGCACATCAAGATCTATGAATGAAAAGCGTGATAGGAGTCAATCATCATGTCAGCTTAAAAAAATATTTTTAAGGGAAATTTCGGTTCACAGCCCGGTAGCTTTATGTTTCAGAACCTCTGGTATTTTGTCTTCTTGAATTACCCTGTCCTCTGAACGTTGAGTATAATCTGAGCCATTAGTTAATTGTTTGCTAGCCGGTATGTGATTGACACTATTGCATGAATGCAACACATCGATCGGCCCAGGGTACTAACATGAGATGGCAGAGCGTGCCCTGTAGCAGATGTTCTTTAATGGTCGTGGCAAAGGTGCTGCATGCACACAGAACTCTCTCTCTCCTGTTTAAGTACAGTACAGTTTCCTCTCTGATAAAGAGTTCCTGCCGCAGCCCCCCCTTTTGCCTCACACTCCAAACCCATGCATGCCTCACCACGCACCCAGTTCGAAGCCCAGCATGGGGCTCTGATACGATCTCACTTCCTAGACATGAATATTAGCTCTGCTGCTGATTTATGATAAAGGGATAAGCCTCCGAGACACTGTTCGGGGGGAGTGTTTTGAGACATGCTGTGATGTGCCCCAATCAAGAATAAAGCCTTTGAAAGACGAGCGGATGCTGCTGCCTGCTGCGACCTTGACTTAAAAGGCCATCTTCACTAGGAGCCTGGTACCCGCCGATGATGCCTTATGAATCCCGCTCAGCCATCTGCACCTGGGCAAGCAGGGGTAGCCTAGAGCTCTGCTCCGTGGTGCAGCAGCTGCAGGGGACGAGCCCCGAAATTTGGAAGGAAAGGAGAGAGCGGTAGCAGTTCTGTAGTTACCACTATCCATGAGACATCTGAGCAGGACACAGCTCAGCTCAGTTCCAAAGCACCAGCTTCGTACTGTTCAATAGCCACTGCTCTCAGTGGGCAAACACAACAGAGAAGCCAAAGTTCCCTTCTCACTGACACTGGTGCAGCTCCAGGGCCTGGCACAGGTATAACGGAGAGGTCTGTGCAGCACAGAGGGGGCAGTGTGGACCGCCCTAGAAAGCTTTGATTTATTTACAGAGCAAATGCGTTACCCGCCGGCAGCAAAGCTGGAGTAACAGGAATACACTGCTCCTCACGGCACTTTTTAGCCTAGGACCTCCGAGTTCTTTATCAACCATTATGAAAGCCCCTGGGCAGAGAGAAATATTTACGGTTTGGGGAACTGAAGAACAGATGTTAAGGGCAGAATTTTCCAGTGCGTTTGGAAAACCTGGACTTGTCCCCATGGCATCTGCTTGTTGCTAGGTACTTTTGAGACTCTGGTTAGTGCTCCTCCATGAACACAATAAAGGACACGTACAAAAGGCTAGATTGGCCTAAGACAGTGCACTGCAGTCTCTTGTTCTAGCTTTGGTTCACCACATCTCTGTCCCACAGCATCCAGGTAGATGGGAGTCAGAAATGTTGAGTGGAAAGGTAATTGCGGTGGGCACAGAAGTCCATTTTTGTTGCTGCCCAGATGGCCTCCCTGCTATAAGAATCAGCTGGTGTTAGCACCCACGGTAGTGCAGGAGAGCGATCAGTACAGGTGACGCTTAGGACTCCAGACTTCAAGCCCAAGCTGCGGGAGGGAATGAGGTTTCTTGGCTAGAGCAGGCGACTGAGGTCCCCCAAGTTTGAGTCCCACCCTTGCAGGGGCCTGGGAGTCAGGTGCAGCCACTGACTTGCTACCACTCCTTGGGCCAAGTCCCACAGTAGCTCCATGGTTCTTTTGGAAGCTAGAGTTAACGTTCACCTCCCCGCCGGGTCTTGGGAGGCTCAGTGAACTAACATTTGATCCGTGCGTCAAAGGGCTTATGTGAACGTGAAGCGTCGGAGCAGGGCATGGCCGTTCCTCTTGCCGGTGTGGCTGAGAGGAAGCAACATGCCCTTGACTTGTTTTCCCAAGAAATGCTGCAGCCAGGGTAATTTTGCTCTGGTGGGTGTGAATGTCAAAGTACATGACACAGGAAGGAGACTGCACTGTCCACCTTCCATCCTGGCCAGCTTTCGGGGCAGGTTGCCTGTGCTAATAAACTTTGCTGAATCTGGCCTTTTAGCATCCTGCAGTCAGAGTGCTTGGGCCGGGGGCTTGACAGAAGGAAAGGGGGAAACAGTGGCCAAGGCCATCATAAAGGCCCCAATAAACTTCCCCAGGCATGATATTTACCATAGTTTTGATGAAAAGTGACCTATTCTCCCTACTGTTTTAACCCAGGTCCCCCGGTCTATCCAGCCACAGAGTGGCGTCACTAACGACTTCCGCTGCCCCTTTCTTTGGGACAACGAGCCCATATTGGGAGCAGAAATCAGGCCTCTGGGTTTGCAGCAAGGCAAAGCAGCATGAGTCAGGCCCTAGGACACAACACATGGGGCTTTCAGGAATCATCATTGCAACGTGCATCATGGCTGGGACAGGCCAGACTGCTGCACAGAGCACTGGCCCAGACCCTTCAGGATCCTTTCTGACCTTCTGATGCCAACCCAGTTTCTAAACCCATTGATTCTTCTTCCCAAGGCGGCTGTCGGTGTAAATGGTGGCGCTAACCCAAGATCAGCAGGCAGCCAGCCAGCCACACAAAGCCTCTGCCTTTGTACCTTGGGGTTGAGCCCACTGCAAGCAGCAGCACCACATGCACTCTGACCCAGAGAGCCCACTGGCATGGTGCTCCGGCATTCATTTCCTGGCTTCAAATATGAGCATATGGACAACAAGCAATTACTCTAGGAAACAACCCTGAGTCTTTCCGCTGATGCTAATGAGATTTTTAGCATCCAAACGGCTCATGAGTTTGTTTTCAGCCACATACGAAAGCCTCTGTGCAAATCCAGGGATCATATCAAAGAGCCACAGTGAAACTCACTTTAAACAACCATCTAGGCAAAGAATGACCCACTGAGAGTCTGTGCGAAAATAAAGCTTATGCTTCACACAAATGACAACGCCGCCCCCCCCCCCCCCCCATCCCATGGCAGACAGATTTAATTTTGACTTACATGGGGCAGGAAAACGTTTGTCCCAGTGGAGTCTCTTGGAAAAAAGCAGCGTTTAAAGTGGAAGAACCGTAAGTATAGTGCCACTAGAGATACTAGATGAAAACACAGAGCTTTCCACAGAAACCATGTTCCTAAAAGGAACAAACTTCCCCTGAGTCAAGGGGTTAAATAGAAATTTAAGGGGGGCAGTAGAAATTGGGAACAAGAAGGTCTGTTAAATGAAGATGCCGTCTGTCCACCGAAGCCCCTTGTAATCACAGAAGGGAGCAAAGATCTTGCAAACAAGAGCCCGTTAAAGGAACGGTCCGTGTTAGGGTAATCGAGTTTAGACCATGAAATGGAAGGGTTGGAATGCTTTTGATTTCATTACTTCAGTACACAGGACCATAGCCATGGATAAAACAAGGGCACTCACATTTAACCTGAACCTGTGCCACCTTCATCTTTAATAAAAACACACTGCCCGAGTGTTTGGCAGGAAATGTGGCTCCAGGTTGCCGGGAGCAGGCTGTAATTTGTTCTGTAAAGTCAATGCTGTAGTCTCAGATGTTAAATTCCGTGGGGCAGAGACCACCTCTCAATTAGCTTGTAACAGGCCACCTACATTCCTAGCGCTGAACTATTTGCTTCCAACACATAAAGATTGGGAATGCTGTTTCTACAAAGGGACCAGGCTGTTTGAGGTCGGCTCTTGGATTTTTCTACACCTCCTGGTGTAGAAGTGAGCTCTGGTTGGGGCAAGAAAAGTTTCTCTGACAAATTCCACTCCCAGCACTTTTCTACCTAGAGATTTGTGTGCTCTGTAGCACCGCAATTGCTCCATGCAGTGGGGCATTCAACTGCAATAATCCCTCAACCCCACCACACTCAGGGTTAACTGTACATTTCAGGAACCTTACCACCACTCAGTGCATCCTCCTCAGAAGGCGTCTGTACCCACCTCTGCTCGGTGGAAAGGAATTTGCACGTTATGGAAAAACACAGCTTGCAAAGCAAACACAACAGGTTTCAGGAGAGCGGAAAGCCAAGCAAAAGGAGCCCTCTAAACACAGAGCCCGATTGTAAGAGTTCACTCTACCTTACTCCTTCTGCCTGCCACTCGCTCAGTCAAAAACAGACCCTTCCGTTCTTCCTCCTACTCTGAGGCAGGGCTATGTCAGTTCTCAGGGAACACAGGCATCGTAGAAGGTGCAGGGGTGAGAAATAGGCAGGCCTGCTTGTTGGCTATTGTACTGAATAAGAACGGTCCCCCACTCTACAGCCCAGCTTTATCTTTCTTCCAGGTTGTTTTGGAGCCAGTACAGGCGTATGAATGCTGGAGAACTCTATGTTCCAGCAGAGGCTTACGACACTTTGCAATCGTGGTGGATGGTGTTGCTAGGGGCAGCAGCGCCCTCTGTAGTCCAAGACTGTGGCCACGTTTCAACCTGCAGGTTTTCCCCTCAAGAGCTCAATCTCACTTTGAGATAGATATTCTCCCAATTCATTTCTACAAGAGCTCAAAGCACTTTACAATTATACCTCACTCCACCCCTTGAGGAAGGGAAGTACTATGGACTTCTATTTTAGAGAGGGGGAAACTGAGGCACAACATGGAGACGTGACTTGCCCAAAGTCATCAGCAAGTGAGCTAGCAGACCCAAAAATAAATCACAGAACCCCAGACACGCAATCTAGTACTCTGTGACACAGACACCACCCTGTTGCTGTGAACAGCTCTTGGTTTAAAAGGTTAGAAGAGGGGTTTGGAATTAACATACAATGAAAAAAACAAGGTACAATTGTGAAGACTTGTACCATTCTCACAGATGGGGAGAAGTCAGTGCTCTATTCATAACGACAGGTGAGTATTTCACTAGTGCTTTAGAAGCCCCACTCACGGACCAGATCCCCATTGTGCTAGTCCCTGCCCTATGTGCAGACAAGCTTATGCTCCAATACAGGGTTTCTGCATCTTTCACAGCTTCCCTCTGAGGAAGCTGCTAATTACCCCTGCAGCTCACTTACAATACAATCAGTCTATTTTGGTAGACTGTTTAACATCAGCTATGACATGCCTTATGGTTAGTCTAAACTTCCTTCCACTCATCATTGGACGACTGCAAATGAATTTAACATACAGGATCAGTCTGATAGCATCAAGCAGTGGAGGAGCTGTATGCAGCGCTGAGAGCATCCTGAAACGTGTGATTTGGAGCAGGAAGCAGCACGGCTGGTAACAGAGAGCTATTTCTCCTACCAGTCTACATCTGTGCAACAGCAACTGGAAAGGGACAGACCCCCTTATGAGCACGGAGACATTTTTTATTTCATTGACCTTATGTTCATTGGACTCATGGCATGCATCTTTACTCTCTCCCCCCTCTAGTAAATATCCTTTTCTGATCTCCACATTTCTCACTGCCCTTTTATCCTTCTATGACATTTTCCTCACATATTTGGAGAGAAAAAGTATTGCTTCAGAAACACGGAGCTGAAATATTTTAGGCATAAGGATGAGTCTCAAGGCCATGATTTGCCTTTGCACCTGCATCTAGTTAATCAGGTGGAATTTGCAGGCACCGTGAGGTATCATAAATACCCAGCAATTGTAGCCCCATCACTATTAATCGAGAGAATCCCGTAGTTATTTACTGCTCTGTAAAACTTCAGTGAGCATCTTGAGGATCCACGTAAAGCAGACACAGGGGAACCCAGTGACTATTCTATGCCTTCCATACGTAGTCCTTGGCAATGTTTAACTGCGTTCATCCACAGATGGTCTAACATTTGTGTCAGCACAAGACATGTACCTTTCTGTTGCTGTTTGTGCAGAACGCTTTGGAACTCATGAAAACAGATACAAAAATACCAATTCTTTTGTTAACAGGTAGTATGCCTGATTTTGTTTCAGCTACAATATTGTGATAACATGTCCCATTCGATCATCATAGCTTTAAGCCTGGTAAGAGGTGTTACAATTTCTCTGCAGAATAGCTCAGTGAAATGGGTGAAAGTGCACCGGGTTACCTACGCTGGAACTGCATCTAAATTCTTTCAGATGCAAACAAGATAGACAAATAATTGTACACAATCCAGAAAAGCCCGAGCTGCTGTATTTCTGCATGTCTGGGATGAATAATGAGAGAGAGAGAGAGAGAGAGAAAAGTAGCTGACAGCAGCAGCAACAACAAAAAATATGTGGGTTTTATTTTTTTTAAACTTGAAAGGGAGAACATTTTTTCCCAACGGTCCCTTCCGTAGACTGGACCAAAATAGATTACAGGTATTTTAACTGTCCACTGTTGAACTGCATGTGTTAGATTTCCATGAACAGGGGAGATTTTTTTTCTTCTGAATTTCTCTGAATTCACTGGTTTGCAGGATAATAGCTATATGCAAAACTATGTTTTGAAAACTGAATGCTGACTAAATTACTCCAGTCTAAACGATTGTTACTGTAGCCCTCAAATCAATACGTGTGTCTTCACAGCACCAAGACATCCTCCATCAAAGCGGTATCAAATCTACACATATGGCTGCAACTACATTTCTTTTGTTTTAATTGAAAAAGGAGCAGAAGGGGTCTAATAGTGGTATGTAAGCCAGGAAGCATATAGGAGTAAAAGAAAATGCATCCATCTCACAGTTCCCCGAGCAAACCATCCAGGAGATCCCCATACAGACAGCACATTACTCCCAAATTAAAAATTGAAGAAAATATTAAAAACCCAAACATCTCAGATATTTCCAAATTGTTTAGTGACCTGACCACAGGAACTCTCGAGTTTTAATCCTGGCTCTGACACTGACTCCCTCTCTGTGATCTTGGGTCAACTACTTAGCCTCTCTGCTTAAATTTCCCCAATCAAATACGAGGATAATACTTAATTACATTGACAAGTGTGAGGATTGAGCATTGTTTGCTAAATGCTTTGATTAAATTCCTGGAGTCCTTCCCAGCATATTAACATACTTAACTGTAGAAATAATCCTTTACCAACAAGTACTTCTGTATAGATTCTCAAGAAATTTTATACTGTTTTATCAGTTAAAAGCTCTCTTCACGCAACTGAGATATGTTGGTAGAGAATAGTAATGCTAAGTTCCTAGACAAATTCCATCCTAATTTTACTGGATCTCTATAGTCTGGAGACTGCATGTGGCTCTGGTATTGTACTGAACAATTCAGATGGTGCATGGGTATTGTTCCAGAACAAAGATTTTTTTTTCCTATCAGAAATTGAACAGATCCATTTTAAGAAAAAAAGGTTTATTTTAGATTACATATTTTCCCCCAACAAAAACTGTGAGGGAGGGATGTAGGCATGAGATCAAATAAATTTAAGTTCACAGTTAACATAAAAATTACCCCCGACATTAATTGGTTCTCCAATGTAAAAAATGTTACTATGAAAGAAGAATTGCCAGACTGGCTCACACTCAAGACACCAGTGAAGTTACTGTTTTTACTCTTTTCAAATCAAGCTCATTTGGAGTTTTTATTTTCAAAACACCATCCACTTTCCCAGCACAGTGACTCTTGTTTATAATAATGTTTAGTCCACCCCGCACATTGAGTGAAAATTCTAGTTCGGAACACTCTTTAGTGTATTCCACCCTCTGAATGACAAGTTCTAGTTAGAAACACTTTGTAGAAGAGTAATATTGTCCCCCTTTAACATGATCCGACCTGCAACACAAAGGAGAACGGAAATGGCAGTTAGAGAGATTATCCTCAGGTCATGCAATGTCTAACTTGCAGAAAATTTTGTTGCAGAAAATCTTTCAAAAAGAAGTCTGCCTGGTGCCTATATAGTGCTTCTTTCTATTAACACTTACCATGGGAAAGACTGCAGTACAGATCAGAAGTTTCCTTTCAGTACAGTAAATTAAGCTAATACATAGACAGACTATCCCTCTGCATGAAGCCTATAAATCTATGGTGATTCTCTCTCCACAGTATATGACCGATATATGAAATTCGCTGCGTTGCAGGGTATCAGCACTATCTTGAGCCCCGTACTCTGCTTCCTTATAATAAACCAGAGTGTATCATAATAAAAGCCATCCTGGCTGGGAATTGGAAGACACCACCGTTTTCAGATTCACTGTTTATCTTTGGTACTTGGCAAATGGTGAATACCAAATCCAAACATGGTGGGGATGGCAGCGGCAAAAGGGTTTCCTGTATTGACTCAGAAGGGTGATGGGGCAAGGTGACAGTAGTATGTCTACACAGCAACTAGAAAAGGAGTACTTTTGGCACCTTAGAGACTAACCCATTTATTTGAGCATAAGCTTTCGTGAGCTACAGCTCACTTCATCGGATGCATACCGTGGAAACTGCAGAAGACATTATATACACAGAGACCATGAAACAATACCTCCTCCCACCCCACTCTCCTGCTGGTAATAGCCCATCCAAAGTGACCACTCTCTTTACAATGTGTATGATAATCAAGGTGGGCCATTTCCAGCACAAATCCAGGTTCTCTCACCCCCGTCCCCCTTTTCCAAAAACCACACACACAAACTCACTCTCCTGCTGGTAATAGTTCATCCCAAAGTGACCACTCTCCCTACAATGTGCATGATAATCAAGGTGGGCCGTTTCCAGCACAAATCCAGGTTTTCTCACCCCCCCCCACCACACACACAAACTCATTCTCCTGCTGGTAATAGCTCGTCCAAACTGACCACTCTCCTTACAATGTGTACGATAATCAAGGTGGGCCATTTCCAGCATAAATCCAAGTTTAACCAGAATGTCGGGGGGGGGGAGGGAGGAGGAAAAAACAAGGGGAAATAGGCTACCTTGCATAATGACTTAGCCACTCCCAGTCTCTATTTAAGCCTAAAGTAATAGTATCCAATTTGCAAATGAATTCCAATTCAGCAGTTTCTCACTGGAGTCTGGATTTGAAGTTTTTTTGTTTTAAGATAGCGACCTTCATGTCTGTAATTGCGTGACCAGAGAGATTGAAGTGTTCTCCGACTGGTTTATGAATGTTATAATTCTTGACATCTGATTTGTGTCCATTTATTCTTTTACGTAGAGACTGTCCAGTTTGACCAATGTACATGGCAGAGGGGCATTGCTGGCACATGATGGCATATATCACATTGGTGGATGTGCAGGTGAACGAGCCTCTGATAGTGTGGCTGATGTGATTAGGCCCTGTGATGGTGCCCCCTGAATAGATATGTGGGCAATAGTTGGCAACGGGCTTTGTTGCAAGGATAGGTTCCTGGGTTAGTGGTTCTGTTGTGTGGTATGTGGTTGTGGGTGAGTATTTGCTTCAGGTTGGGGGGCTGTCTGTAGGCAAGGACTGGCCTGTCTCCCAAGAGTCTCTCACAGATCTTGGGAGACAGGCCAGTCCTTGCCTACAGACAGCCCCCCAACCTGAAGCAAATACTCATCCACAATCACATACCACACAACAGAACCACTAACCCAGGAACCTATCCTTGCAACAAAGCCCGTTGCCAACTATTGCCCACATATCTATTCAGGGGGCACCATCACAGGGCCTAATCACATTAGCCACACTATCAGAGGCTCGTTCACCTGCACATCCACCAATGTGATATATGCCATCATGTGCCAGCAATGCCCCTCTGCCATGTACATTGGTCAAACTGGACAGTCTCTACGTAAAAGAATAAATGGACACAAATCAGATGTCAAGAATTATAACATTCATAAACCAGTCGGAGAACACTTCAATCTCTCTGGTCACGCAATTACAGACATGAAGGTCGCTATCTTAAAACAAAAAAACTTCAAATCCAGACTCCAGCGAGAAACTGCTGAATTGGAATTCATTTGCAAATTGGATACTATTACTTTAGGCTTAAATAGAGACTGGGAGTGGCTAAGTCATTATGCAAGGTAGCCTATTTCCCCTTGTTTTTTCCTCCTCTCCTCCCCCCCCCCCCGACATTCTGGTTAAACTTGGATTTATGCTGGAAACGGCCCACCTTGATTATCATGCACATTGTAGGGAGAGTGGTCACTTTGGGATGAACTATTACCAGCAGGAGAGTGAGTTTGTGTGTGTGGTTTTTGGAAAAGGGGGACAGGGGGGTGAGAAAACCTGGATTTGTGCTGGAAATGGCCCACCTTGATTATCATACACATTGTAAAGAGAGTGGTCACTTTGGATGGGCTATTACCAGCAGGAGAGTGAGTTTGTGTGTGTGTGTGTGAGTGGGGTGGGGGGGGGGGGAGAGAAAACCTGGATTTGTGCTGGAAATGGCCCAACTTGATTATCATACACATTGTAAGGAGAGTGATCACTTTAGATAAGCTATTACCAGCAGGAGAGTGGGGTGGGAGGAGGTGTTGTTTCATGGTCTCTGTGTATATAATGTCTTCTGCAGTTTCCACAGTATGCATCCGATGAAGTGAGCTGTAGCTCACGAAAGCTTATGCTCAAATAAATTAGTTAGTCTCTAAGGTGCCACAAGTACTCCTTTTCTTTTTGCGAATACAGACTAACACGGCTGTTACACTGAAACCTGTCATTACACAGCAACTAGACGCCTGTGGCTGGCCCATGCCAGCCACCTTGGGCTCAGAGGGCTAGGGCTTTGGGGCTGTTTCACTGCAGTGTAGACGTCCAGGCTCAGGCTCCAGCTTGAGCCCTGGGACCCTCCCACCTCGCAGGGTCTTAGAGCCTGGGCTCCAGCCCAGGCCCAGAAGCCTACACAGCAATGAAACAGCCCCACAGCTTGAGCCGTTGTGAGCCTAAGTCAGCTTGCACGGGCCAGACACAGGTTTTAATTTGTTGTGTAGACACAACTGAGTGTGAGGGGAGGGTACTAGGACTGTTGTATTTAAATGAATTAAAAACATAAGAATGGCCATACTAAGTCAAACCAATGGTCCATGGAGCCCAATATCCAGCCTTCTGACAGTGGCTGATGCCAGAGGCTTCAGAGGGAATGAACAGAACAGGGCAATTATAGAGTGATCCATCCCCAGCTGTCCAGTCTCAGCTTCTGGGAGTCAGAGGTTCAGGGACACCCAGTAAATAGGATTTTGTCCCTGACCATCTGGGCTACTAGTCATTGATGGACCTATCCTCCATGAATTTACCTAATTATTTTCTGAACCCGGCTGTACTTTGGGCCTTCACAACATCCCTTGGCAATGAGTTCCACAGGTTGACTGTGCATTGTGTGAAGAACTACTTCCTTTCACTTGTTTTAAACCTGCTGCCTATTAATTTCACTGGGTCACCCCTAGCTCCAGTGTTTCATGAAGGGGTAAATTACACCTCCAATTAATACAACAGTACAGAAATAGATATGGGAGTCTGGAGTTTAGATTGGCCTCCTCCAGCCACCCTGACACCCAAGAGAAGGCAGAGAGCTGCTGTTTATTAAACCACCTTTTTAAAGATTCAGATTCATTTTAGGACTCACTCACTCTTTGAGAAGTGCTGGATTCTGACATACAGCTAATCAGAATAGAACATTCATCAGCTCTCTAATCCCAACACAGTTAACCTACAGCAGAACTAATGCTATTCATTTGCTATTCACCAATGGGTTTCACTATCCTTCAGTCAAAGCTATTCATTTGCTCTGCATTTTATATTGCTACCACACACATGGTTCATATATGCAGCTTGGTGCCATAAATCATTTAACCCATGCAGACTTACCCAGCTGTTTCCTTGCTTTTGTTTTTGAGTGTATCTCCTCTGCATCATCCAGAACCAGGTTCATGTATTCATCAAAACCCTAAGAACCAACAACAAAGTGGTTAGTGAACAAAATCGCCTGGTCTCAAGCCTCAACAGTAGGAGCTGCTTTCACTAAGGGGACACAGAAAAACACCTGTCAGGAATGGTCTAGATAATACTTAGTCCTGCCATGAGTGCAAGGGACTGACCTAGATGACCTCTCGAGGTCCCTTCTGGTCCTATGATGCTATGATTAAATGGATCTAAGTAAGACGACTGCTTGGAAAACAGGGGGTGGGAGGGTGGGAGTGTGGCGTGTTATTCCTTCACTGTACTACTTTTTCCTGGGGAGTTGAAAATGGGACTTGTGAACTGGAAAAACAAATGAATGATGCAAAGTGCATATAACATGACACTCACAATGATACAGCCTTCTATGCGCATGTTCACCTGTTCATAGAGCCACACCTGAATCCTGGACCTCTGCAAAATCGGGAAGGGGGGAAGGAAAAGATAAGAAAGCACATTATTAGCACAGGTACTCCAAGCAACAGTTACTCATTGGTATACAGGATATTATTATCTGTTTGCCCCGTTGTAAGTCATTATTAAAAATATTCTTTGCAGTTTCTGTAAGAAGACCCAAATTAGAACTTAATGTTGCCCTGAGACATCTTATAAATAAAAAGGCATGTTTTCTCTCCAATTATTGAGGATTTGTGAACATGTAAAGGAATAAATTTTAGAATGTAAACAATAGTAGAAGTCTGCTCAGGACTAATTTTAAAGCCTGACCCAAATCCAACTAGATCACAGTCAATTTTAACCCAACCCCGAGAGTATTTCATTGTTTTCATACCCGAACCCAACACTTGTAGTCAGGTCCCACTGGGTTTAGGTGAGGTTGCAATGGTCTAGGGCAGTCAACACAATCAGTGATAAGAGCCTATCCGATCTGAGCTGCGCCTGAATGTATGCTACACAAATAATACCCAACCTAACCTGAACCTGACACCTGTATTCAGATCCTGTCGGGCTGCCAGGGTTATTACACACAAGCACATCACTGTATACTTTACCTTAGGATCAAACCTTTAGTATGCATTACTATTTCTTGGCATGCTAACAAAATATTAAACTTAGACCCACAATACAGTTTGGTGGCAGGAAGCTATTCAGTACAAAAAAACCCCCCAAAACCTTAAGAGCTAATACGTCAAATATTATCAGTACTATTATTAGTTAGAGATGGAAGAAACTGATCAGTTTATGAATCCCTGCTCCTTGCTGAAGAAGGAAGGAAGAAAGAATCCTTCCACACTCCAAAGACAAGATGTATCAGATATAAATCTCAGCAACATGACCATGGCTAAAACCACCTGTTTTTGTTTGGATCATATGTTTTGGATCATATTTACAATCACACAAGGAGTTGATAGTTAGACAGCATTACTTACATTCTGCAGGTACCTGAAGATGAGGTTCTGTAACACAGCACTTAAGGAAAAGCACAGAAGCAGCTCCTAGCACAACATGTGTCACTGTAACAACTCATCTGGTTATAACCAAAGTTCCCATTGTAAGAGCACCTTATTCTGAGGCAAGTCATGGTTTGTTTCTTGGAGGGGAGGGGGAGAAATCCAGCTGGCATTGAACACACCGATTCCCCCTTGGGACTCTGATAAAGAGTGGCCCCTTCCCAGTACACCCAGGCCCCACCCCAGGCACTAGACCCCCCAGCATGTAATGCCCGTGTGAGGGGCTGCATGGCAAACTCGATCTCTGCCCCCCCGCCCCCTCACTTCCGCCAGCCCCCATCCGGCACCCCCCCTCTCCCTCCCGCCAGCCCCCCATCTCCTCCCCCTCTCCCTCCCGCCGGTCCCCCATCTCCCCCCCCCTCCCCGGCCCCCTCACTCCCTCCCGCCGGTCCCCCATCTCCCCCCCCTCCCCGTCCCCGGTCCCCTCACTCCCTCCCGCCGGTCCCCCATCTCCACCCCCTTCCGCCCCCCCACTCCAAACCCGCCAGCCCCCCCATCTCCTTCCTCTCAATCTCTCCCGCCCGCCAGTCCCCCCCACTTCCCCCTCCCCGCCCAGCCCCATTTCCCCCGCGGCAGGATACGATGGGCTGCACCATCACCTTCTGCACCTTCTGGCCCTGCCCGCGATACGCCATGGCCGCGAGCGAGCCTCAGCCAACCGGCGGGGGGGGGGAAAGAGAGAGAGAGAGAGAGAACGGAAGAAACCGTTACCCCCCAACAGCCCGCACGCACGCGCCGCCCCAGCTCAAAGACTTCCGGTGCAGACCGGAAGCCGCCGGGGCCTGCCCGCGGAACGCCGGGAACCCTTTCCCGGCCACTCTGGCACGCTGGAGGACTCTCCGTCCCGCCTCTCCTGCTCCCCCCTCTCAGAGAGCTGGGTTCGAGGCGCCTGCTGTCCTCGGGCGGGGGGCACGAGCCCCGCAGCAGCCCAGCCTGGGAGGTCAGCGCTGGCTGTTCAGAGCCCCTGCCCAGAGCACGGGCCCAGAGCCTGCAGGGTGCATGCAACACAGGCGTGGGGCCAGGCGGGTGCCGGGGTGAGCCTGCTACCCCCTTTCCACGTGGCTTCACCCCCTCCCTGTGGAGGCCCAGCTCTGGCCCCAACCTGCTGTTACTTCAGGCAAGTCTCTTCGCTTGCTAGGTCTCCCAGTTTTGTGAAGTGCTTTGAGATGAAAGGAGTTAAGTATTATGAATTCCCCACACAGTCACACTGCCTCTTCCATTGTTTGCAAGCTGACCCTCTCTGCACCCCCTACCACGGGGACATACTGTTTCCCCTACTGGTAACATTTTAAAGAAATTATTGGCTGTAGAAACCAAAAGATCCTTTTGTTTGTGCCTAATGCCCACCTCTGCATCTTACCCAGCTACACAGAGAACATCTGAAATAAGACTTCCTACATCAGCTTTATTTAAAAACAAGAGTAATGTTTTTCATGAACAGCCCAACTCATGGTGAACATGTATGATTCAGATTACATGTAAGACAATGCTTTAAATACAAACTAAATAGAAAATGAGAGAATAAAATATTTACAGAAGTAATGGCATACACAAAATTCGGCCTTCGTAGACAGGACTTCTCATCCAGAGAAGGAAGTGAACAAAGCTGACAATGGAACAGAATATTCTGCTTAAACACAGCGAGATAACAAGCAGCAGGGAAAATTTTTTTAGATCACAATCTCTCATACATCTCTCTCTCTCTCTCTCTGAAAGTTGCTTCCATTTGTGCACAAGCAACCTGAAGTCTCATTGTGAAAAGTCCTTCAGCAGGATGGAGGGTTGTTGCTTTTCAGCTTCTTCGGGATGAAGCTTCCTGCGTGGTGTCCCTCCTAGAACTATAACAGCAGTTTTTTCAGGAGTGGGCTTTTTAATTTAAAAATTGGTTTTGGTTCAAATCTTCCCTATAAGAACTAAGACATCACAGTGGATTACCAAATCATGTACGTGTTTTCTTCCAAAGACAAAATATTTACAATACAATTAAACTTTTTTTTTAAGCCTGCCAGCAGCAGAAGCTTGCCACACCTATATCCTCACAGCTCAAAGTCAGAAGGGACTAGCTTGTTGAAAGTTTAAGAAAATTAAAAAAAATAAAATAAAAAAACTCATGGTCAAAATGAACATAGGTGATGGGAAACACAATACACCCCAATCTCAACCGTTTACTGCGGGGTCACAGCAAGATTCCATGTACACAGTTCAGGCAAATGGACTGTCAAGCACAGAGGACTAGTTTTCCTAACATCCCAACCCCAGGTATGTACTTCCTAAATGATTAGTTCAGGCAGAGGAGGAGGAGGATGGAATTATAGAGAAATGAAGGGTGAGAAGAAAGAAAGGTATCCACAGGACAGGAGAGGACACAGAGTTTGCTCTGACCGCTGTAGAACACTTTTCTAGGACTTGCCTGACTTGACAAATGCTTCTTATTGGCTGAATTCCAGCATAGTGCTACATCAAATCAGACAAGCCTATACAGCGAATTGGGGTTCAAAGAAAGCTGAAAGTGTTTTCCCATCAGTGCCAGCAGCTACTGCTTTCCAGTAGAAGAAAAGTCAGCAGAAGAAGGAAGAGATTCGTGGAAATGAGAGGCACTTTTAAGACCCATTTTCAATTTACTGATGTGCAGCAGACCATGAGGGCTTACACCACTTGCCCCAGGACCTTATTCAGTCAACAAAAAGTACCAACCCCTCAAGATTTAGTACAGTAGGATTCAAAGGGAGAAAGGCAGTCTTCATGTACTGTATGCTGCTGCTTTCCATACTGATATTGTATTGTCCCTGATAAGTAAAAGGAAGTAAGGCTGGATGGACTAACCCAATCCCGCACCTTTGGCAGTACGTTTGGCCCACATTACTGTAGTAATTATCCTTTTCATTAATTTTCACCTAGAATCTTAAAACAAGAAGGTAAGGACAAATACAACTCAAGAGTTGACATAGTAATTCGAGGCCATTCAAGAAAACAAAGCAAAAGAAAGCTTTGAAACACACTCACTGAGTTTTGCACACCTTGCTGAGAAAAACGTTTTTTTTTTTTTTTTTTTTTTTTTTAAAGCCTTCACAGCCTTGAATCAGTGGAAGAAGTTTATACCCCCAGGCTTTATAGATGGGCTCCAGGATCATTCTGGCCTGAAACTGTGAAGTGCTTTGTCTTCACATATTCAAAATAGCCACGTATGGTAACAGGATGGGTATACAGGTTAACTCTTACGGGCAGGGAAATTAACGACAATTGAGTGCAGATATTGCCAATTTCTACCAGTTCAAGTGTACTTGAAGACTTGTGGCAAAGCCTCATATAGAAGAAAAAGGTTTATCTTGGGTATCCAACAAAATAGAGTTTAAAATGTTTTTTGTTTTAAAAGATAAGTATAAGTCTGGTTCAGCTGTCAATCATTTCAGATAGTTCAAGCAGGAGGTCATCCTCATCTTTTCCTGCATCCAGATCAATCTCTGCTTCCAGTTTGCCTCCAGAGATTTCCCAAATCAGCTTCTCAAAGTCATCTTCTACGGACAAGGGTGCTTTCCCAGCTGCGTTGGAACTCAGCCTGCGGGTCTTTACTGCTGCCTGTGAAGAGGTTGGGCTTGTCATCTCTGATTGAGCCACAGAGGCTGCTTGGCTTCCTATGTGGAGCTCAGGGCTTGGGAGAAGAGAAAGAGAGAGCAATTAGACATTCCTTAATTGAAAATATCTATTTTGCCAAACACCCTATCTTACTGCAGTGTTACCCCCCCCACACCTCCAATCCTTTGGAATTGCTGTGTAACTAAGCAGTGGCTGTCCCCGAGTCCAACATAATATTACAGGTACATTCTCAGTTTACAGAGTAACAGCCGTGTTAGTCTGTATTCGCAAGAAGAAAAGGAGTACTTGTGGCACCTTAGAGACTAACCAATTTATTTGAGCATGAGCTTTCGTGAGCTACAGCTCACTTCATCGGATGCATACCGTGGAAACTGCAGCAGACTTTATATACACACAGAGATCATAAAACAATACCTCCTCCCACTCCACTGTCCTCCTGGTAATAGTTTATCTAAAGTGATCATCAAGTTGGGCCATTTCCAACACAAATCCAGGTTTTCTCACCCTCCACCCCCCCACACACAAACTCACTCTCCTGCTGGTGATAGCCCATCCAAAGTGACAACTCTCTACACAATGTGCATGATAATCAAGGTGGGCCATTTCCAGCACAAATCCAGGTTCTCTCACCCCCTCACCCCCCTCCAAAAAACACACACACAAACTCACTCTCCTGCTGGTAATAGCTCATCCAAAGTGACCACTCTCCCTACAATGTGCATGGTAATCAAGGTGGGCCATGTCCAGCACAAATCCAGGCTTAGTTTAGGGACCTAGACACAACCATGAGAATTAAACCAATCTTTTTGCTAGATCCCCAAATGCTCTGCCTCCAAAGACAATACACTTACACTAATTTACTAAACTGACTATAAAAATGTGAATGGATAAATTTTGTGAACTGTTTGTTAAAATGGATATCAACTATTTACTTTTTCCATCACACGTTTGGACGAATTTGGTGCTCTTGACACTAAGAAGCTGACAGCAGTAGATTTTAGTCAGCCCTGATTCGGCCAGGTGCTGCAGAAACTTGTCTCACCCAGCTCTGCGTTATTTTCTTCACCTAATATCCCTCTTCTCTTACAGAGCCTTCTGCTGAGACATGCATTTGGTCACAGAGAATGCCAGCCACTAGTTAGTATTTGAGGAGGAGCCAGCAGGAAAGTCTTCCCCTATCTTCATCCCACTTCTACGCCACCCTCGCCTCTTTCAGGACTCACAGGAATCCAGAAAGATGCTATTGCAAGTGATGCCAATTCACTGACATTAACAAAAACAACTCAAATGTTTTAAAAGATAATCCAAAGGAGAGTCTGCTAAATAGTTAGAAAATTAAAGCAGGGTATGTTGCACCGCTTAACAGGTATATTTTAACATTGATGACCTCAAACTCATCTTCCCAAATGTGTCAGGCAGACACTGTACTGAAGTTTCCTGAAACCCCAGTGACAAAAACCTTTTCTAACAGGAGTAAGTTGCAGACATTACCTGTCTCTGGATTTTGCTCTCTCTGGTACAGTGGCCGGACTATCCTCTGGCAGGGCTAGAACAGTAGTCTGGGAAAAAGCAAGGTGAAAGTTAAGGTACAAAAGTAAAATATTTCTCAGCAGTTTTCCTTTCTCCAGCATAATGCCTGTCCCATCCTTGCACAGCCATATCATCCCTGAGCTCCAGGCCAAAACAAATTTGGGCCTTCCCAGACAAAGCAAGCATAAAACTCGATGCCTATCAAGGGCCTGAAGTCTTCAGCAGTAGTTGACTAGCCACTCTGGAATGCATGTAAGTGGTACGTAGTTCAGTCCACTGAGAAGGCATCTAACTAAGAACATTATAGAAGTGCTGGTACTCATCTAATAAAAGATGGAGGAAGATACATCAAAATCATCCCATGGTATGGTAAGGGACTCAGATCTGGACAGAACTGCATAAGAGAGATAAGACATCCCTATATCTATCCTCTCTTAGGGGCAGGGTGAAACACTTCTGTTCAGGTTTCACCATAGGCTGTCCAGCTTGTAAGCCAGTTTCCTTACCATAGCTGCTTTTTTAGCCGGGAGCTCCTTCAAGTCACTGCTGGTGGTGCTTAGTGGTTTCACAGCTGCTATGGCAGAAGGATGACTTTCAGCCACCTTACGTTTCAGGGCCTGCTTTGCAGGGGAGATCGTTTTTACGCCTGATGGCTTCACATTCACCTTGGGTTTGGCTGGAACATAAAAGGAAAAGAACGGAAGCTGATTGGTTCCTAGGATTGTTGCAGTTTCCTTCCTCCTCTGTAAAGCCAGCAATGAGTATAAGGCACAGCACCTGGTAACCCCCAATTAACCCTTTGGCAGGTAGTTCAAATACATGTATTCAAAAAAGAACTAGATAAATTCATGGAGGATAGGTCCATCAATGGCTATTAGCCAGGATGGGCAGGACTGCTGTCCCTAGTCTCTGTTTGCCAGAGACTGTTCATTCCCTCTGGGGCACCTGGCATTGGCCACTGTCGGAAGACAGGATACTGGGCTAGATGGACCTTTGGTCTGATCCAGTATGGCCGTTATGTTCTTATGTAGTCAGCAATCTGTAAAAATGCTAACAGACTTACAGCGTCTCATCTTATCAGCTCTAACACATTCCAGAGAAATTCCTTCACCTCCATTAACACAGCCATCTTTGGGGTGGAATGTAGGAGCCGTTGAGCAACACTACCCAACAGTCAGGAATGAATTAGTAAACCAATCAGAAATGAAGGGGAGAATAGAGAGAAAATCTGGACAGCATCGAGATCCTAAGCAACACCACCACTTTTCTACGGTAACTTTCCTGAAATTTCAGTGTTTACAAATGAAAGCCATTTTCTAGTTATTTAGGGCTCTCGAAGAGGAAAGGGTTAACACGGGCTGGAGCTGGGAGGAAACAGAACAGGCACATTCTGTGTAGGCTTCCTCTCCCACCCACAGCAAGGATCTGCACAACTTGTTACACTACTGTGCCAATGCATCTAACTCCAGACTGGCAGCGTTTCCTTTTACTACTCCATTCTTCTGACTCACGGCTGGCCATTTTGCCAACCGAACGAAATATGCATCATACTGTGCTGCACTTGTGGCGATGAGAAAAGTCTAAAGACGACGACACTGGTCATCTTTCCCTGACAATATTGAGCAAAATAACTGAGTGATTTTGGGAACCGATTAAGTGATCGGTCCTTAAAGTTAAATCCCTGCTACAGAAAATACCACACAAAATGACATTCACCTTTAGCCTTTCGCTCCAGAGACTGAGCTGCTTGTTTCACTGGCAGTACTGAACCCTCCGTTCCTGGACTTTCCATCACGGCTTCCTCTGCTTTCACAGTCAGTCTCTTTGTCAGCCGACGAGTTGCCCCAGGTGTCACTGTGGATTCAGGACTTCCAGCCACTGGGCTCTTCTCTTCAATTGTTTCTTCTCCAGGGGACGACACAGCAGGTATTTCCTTCTGGAGCGTCTCCTTCTGCCGTGGCTTCAGCTGCCGCTTCTCCCTCAGGATTTCTTCAGAACTCTTCATTTGAGCCATAGAGTTGCTTGCACTCTCATCTGAAAACTAGAGAAAATAAGCGAGGAACAAGATGAGACAAATCTAGGGAGACTTCATAACAAAAACCTAATCAGCAATTCCTCTGGAGAGGACTCTGAGCTCCGCACCACCCTAATATCAGTCAGCTGCCTTTTGGCAACCTACATCAAGGTTCACAAACACCCTCACCTTTACTACAGAAGTGCAGCCCACAGAGGCTACATGTCCCAGCATGGGTTGTCCCCTGATCAAAGCAAAAGACTCTAGCTGAAATCTATTCCATTCTTAGTAGGAGCCCAAGGGAAACACAAGTTGCCAGTGTTGCCCTCAGACAGATTACCTCTGATTACAAAGTCCTGGCTTCTTATTCATTGCTAAGTTTAAATAGCAAGAAATTCAAAGCCATTTGATCATTGCAATGTTGTCTTGAAATGCTATCACAGAAGACAGGACTCTGGATTAATCTCCAGCACTTCGGTGCAGAAATATATAGACACCCCCATTGTATCGGAGGTATGTGCCAAGTCGTGCTGGTAAACAGAATGTGAATATTACTTTTGACACATAGTGATTCCTATATTCTCCAGGGACTCACCTCTGCAGCCTTGTCTGCTGGGCCAACACTGAGGGGCGGAACGCTTGACTCCACCAACTTCTTTTCTTCTCTTCCAGGTGCTTTAAAACATCCCAAACCCACATGTTAATTCCAAGAGTTGAAACACCACAGATCTCCTGAATAGCATTTCACACTATTGGTTTCCAACCTTTTGGGGCAAACGCACCAGTTTAATAGACGAAGAATTTGGCTGCAGCTTGAGCTCTGCAATCTTCCATTCAGTTGTACACACTGTAATCATGAGGTTTGGGTTGCGCTACACACCAGAGAACTTTTATTTCCAGCTGACCAAGCACTGAGATGACCCAAACAGATCCCCATTTAATGTTACATCTGAAAGACGCTTTGTACAGTGTACATGATGTATTGTACGCAGGGAACGAATGAATGAGGCTGTTGTCTGTAGGACCCCTGCCTTATTTGTTGCAGAGGTTGGAAAGTGTATAGTGAATGAGGCAGAGGACTGTAGGATGAAAAAGGAATGGTCTCATGGTTAGGTGGTTGAATGCTGGCCTAGTAAACTGGATTCTATGCCTGCCTCTGCCACAGAGTTCCTGTGTGATGCTGGGCACCTCACTCAAACTAGTGTTAACAGCTGGCTACTAATTGTGTGTTCCCCATTTTCTGCGTGCCCAATACGAGACACCTGTGGTTTGAGACACAAAAATGCTGAACACTCAGACATCAGTGGAATTGTGCTTTGAACATGCAAAGTGGTTGTGTTCCAAAAAAAAAAAAAAAAAGCAAATCCTAGATATTTCAAGTTGGGCACCCAAAATTAGTGGACAATTTTGGCCTTAATCTCTTTCTGTGCCTCAGTTCCCCTGCTGTAAAAAAAACCCAAAAAACCACACACACACACCTCCCTACCTCACAAAGGTGTTGTGAAGATCATGAACATTAATAAAAGGAGTACTTGTGGCACCTTAGAGACTAACCAATTTATTTGAGCATGAGCTCACGAAAGCTAATGCTCAAATAAATTGGTTAGTCTCTAAGGTGCCACAAGTACTCCTTTTCTTTTTGCGAATACAGACTAACACGGCTGTTACTCTGAAACATGAACATTAATGTTCATGAAACACTGACTCCAATATTATTTTGAGAGGATCACAGAAACTCCCAGGAGGGAATGAATTTTGTATTCAGTACCGCGTGTGAGGCCTGAGGCCACACATTCAATATTGCATTTTGTCCTCCACGTTAAATAACTACGCATTCACTGAATGAGGCAGGAGCCCCATAGAAGACATAACAAGTGATATGCATGACAGTCTTTAATTACATATGTACAAAGCAGCAAGTAAGGTTGATATGGGCAATCCTGATTCTGGCACTTCCTAACTTTTGACTTTGACAGTCTTCTAGCTGTAATATGTAGTGGAGTGAGTGAATTCTGAGTCAACTGAAAATACTAGCAAAGACAGGGAAACCTGCTGTACTATGGGAATAGCCAAAGCATTTGTTACCTGTCAGCTTTGTAATGCGCAGTAATCGCCTGCCGATGGGAGTAAGCTCAGGTTGCGGTGGCGTATTTAGGGTGTTCTCTCCACTCTGCTGCATCCTCAGGGCTTTCTCCTGCTTGATCTCCTCCAATGTTTTAATGCGCACCTCCCCTATTGACATGGCTTTGCCTGTGGACTGCTCCAGCTGCCCTTTGCTGGCTATAGATGGAGCTGTGGTGTCCTGCTTCTTGGTCTCACTCTCAGTCTTCGGCTTCGTAGGGTTTTCCTCCGCTTTTAGCTTTTCCTCCATTTTTAGCTGCTCTTCCTCCCCCAACTGCCTGTTTTTTTTCTCAGCCAGGACCTCAGAAAAGGTTTTGATTCGAATTGTTGGGGAGGGTCTCACCCTTGGATTAGGATCTTCTGTTCTACAAGACTCTTCAGTCTTGGGTTTGGTTTGAGGTTCTCCCCGTTTCTGGCTGGCTTTCTCAAGACGGATTTCCTCTAGTGTTTTCACACGGATCTCACCTGCTTGTTTTGCAGCTCCCTCTGTTGTTACCAAAAGAGGAAAAACCCAAAACATTTAAAGAGAAGACTGACCTGCGCATTGAAAAAAAAATTAAGTAGCCATTTAGGGCCCCCCAAAAAACTGTCATTTTCAGTGTGTCAAAGAGAAAGGAAACCAAATCATAACCTATACTTGTGAAAGTGGTTTAGGGAAGCATGTATATCAAATTGTAGGGCACACTCTGATCCCTTTTCTGTAAACAATCCATTACTACTGCGATGACTGCAGCACAGAGGTAGATTTGCCTCATTCTACCACTACCTTGTACCTCCACTGGCATTTCCAATCCCATCTCTTGGTTTTCAATTTCTATTTCACTTGTCTCCAAGCACGTTTCAAACTCTTCTGCTTATAGACAGGTGAGAGAAGCTTGCTGAGGCACAAGTGGAAACAAATTGGCTGTCAAGAGCCAGAACTCTCACGCTGGCAGATACAGGAGTTCTAATGGCTACGAGAAGGGTAATGTAGATTGCTGAGAAATGGCAGGTCCAAGAAAAAGGGAAGCATCAGCTTTAGCAAACAGCTGTTACCTGTCTCCGTGCTAGCCTGCTCAGCTGGCAATCCTAGCCTCTCCTTAAGAGATTTGGGGACTTGAACTGCAAGAACAAACACAAAGCAGTTAGGTGGGCTGCTCCTTTGTCTCTCACATGGTTCCAGGAAATTCAAAGTTATCTTGAGAGGCTTCTTCTAACATACAAAGAACCAAAAGGGAAGTCTGTATGTAACAAACCCAAGGATTTTTTAAGCAGCAGTACCTCTCTTTGGTGCTTTGTCAGTCTTCTCCAGAGATTCAAGCTTCTTTCCAAGCCTTTCAGCAAGGCTACGCTTCAATGGAGGGCCACTTTCATCTGTAAAGCCAAACATGGTGGAAATAAAGTCAACAGCTAATATCTGAACATATTAACAAGAGCTTGTCCATCGGAGGACTTGAAGACAGGGGAGTCGCCTAGAAGCTCTCCTCTCTTTACCTTTCACAGAGTTTAATTTTTTCTGTTTTTATCTTCCAGCTGCTAATATCTGCTATTTCTACTTCGAAGTTGTAGCTCCCAAATAGCACAATGGTTCTCAGTGGAAGAAGCATTTTGAAACCCAAGCAGCAGAAGATAAGGATGTCAGGAGGGTAAGAGGCTCTCTGAGAAACTCCCTTATGAAGCAACTGCCAAATCAAGACGGGGACTCTCAGGGTAGAAAGTTCTAAAGCACTTCACAAACTTATAGGGGTTCTCATAATACATTTTTGGTGACCTCAGAGTTCGGCCACCAATTTTGCTGGGGGGGCGTTCTGACAATTTTTCCTAAAATACTTAACTTTAGGAAAAACAAATAAATATGAACATATACATGTTCAAGTCATTGTAGTTTATGTATATAGAGGTTTTTTGCAGACTCAATAATTAAAAACAATGTACAGTTGTCTCTATTCTTTATTGGACCTAAACAGAATAGAAACACAAATAAGGTGTTTTGCGCATTCTTGTCTTTTGTTGTTGTTGTTTCTTTTGCTTTTTGTTTGCTTTTTTAAAAAGACTTGTTAGCTAGTAAGTCTGCTGCTGAAAAAGGTAATATCTGTATATTTGTTAATATCAATTTCCACAGCAGACTTACTAGCTAGCTGGGGGTCTGTGAAAAGTGATATTAACAAACATACAAATATAAATTTTCACAGCAGACTTACTCAGCCAGTAAGCCCTGGATAAGAGGTGGGTAGGGAGACAGTGGGGACCAGGGGCAATGGTAGGGGGCAGGGGAGGCAGTGGGGGCCAGAAGTGATGTAGGGGGGTGGTGAGCCGAGGGCTGGCACCTGCAGCCAGGGTCCAGGGCCGGAGCCCAAAGCCCCATGACTGGAGCCTGCCGCCCGCCACCTCAGGGCTGAACCCCAAGCCTCACTGCCCCACGGAAGGTGGGGAACTCACACCGGCTGCCTGTTCCTCTGGCGTTTGTGGCTCCAGGGGGGATAGTGCCAAACCCCTGCTGATGGCCCTGGGGGAGGGACCACTGCTTTGCACCCCACCCCCATCGCCAGTCACTGCCCAGGAGGCTGTGGTCATAAGAAAAGCCCCTGGTGGCTGCATGTAGCCACATTGGCTGCATTTGAGAAACGCTGTCCTACAGTACCTGAAACGCAGACGTCTTTAAGGAGAAGGGCACTAGAACAATACATTTGCACAAGCCTGGGGGATATGTGAATGCGATATATCTGCTTTGGTGTTTTGGAGACACCGTATCTCTCTGGTAAAACATACAAGAAGCCACAAGCTCAGGAATTACCAAATAGATGACTTGATGGCTTCTGACTTAAGTTAAAGAAGCAGAGTATGTAAGCAGCTAGAGTACCCACACTGCTTCAGAGTATACACATTGCATAGTGTCAAAAAATTCCCCTTCTTGAGGGTTGCTCAGATAAATATCTAACTATAAACCTTATCCTAAAAGCTCTCTCTTCAAGTTTGGCTGTTCCTAGGGTTTCCCTGCAAATCCTCACCTGTCCCAGTCCCTTGTTCTCCGTTTTCCAGAGAGACACTCCATCCCCTTTCCAACCTGGTTGGAGTTAAGGACCCACCTGTCAGCATGAGTCACAGCAGTAATTAGTCTGCAACCTTATGCAGGGCTGTAGAAACTGCCACCCTGTTACAGACTAGCATTCAGGTAACGGGTAATGAGTCTCATACATATTCATTTTTTCCTGAAACTAAATTCCTATACCTTTATTTTGTTCTATAAAATATTTTTTTGAACCACATTAGCGAGCTGCATGGAGCCTTACAGCTGTAATGGCAGATGGGTGTTGCAGATTTCAACTTAAGTGCATTACAAGAGCTATGCAGAGGAAGCTGACTCTAGCCAGCATTATTTCTCTATCCTATGAGTTCTTACCTATGGAGGGTTTCCGTTTTCCCAGTCTCTCCGAGAGACTCAATCGAATTAGAGGCTCCTCACCTTGAACAGTGAAACATAAGCATCTTTAATTTGGAAAAAGCACTAGACATATATAGATACAAAATAATCTCGCCAGTTTACACAAGTGATAGACTCCTATTGTAAATCATGAGATTTTGCCTATTAGCGAGGAAACAAAAATGCAATAATATTGCATCATAAAACATTTTGAGAATTACAATTTGGAAACTTACTAGTAAGTGTACTGTAGTATACTTCGTAAAAATCATAGAATGAGATCTTGCTTCAGCTTTCTGCTATTAAGGCTCTGATAACAAGTGTGCAAGTTACATACTGTGCTGGTTAGGGAGGTTCTCCTACAGTAGAAGTATTCACAAAGTTAAGTTTTACTCTTAGAAGCAAGCAAAATGCCTCTTGGGAGCACAACTTCCATATTCGGGTTCTAGTCTACAAGACACTTTGAGGATTTATTCCTTACTAGGATAACCAACTATCAAACAGCAGCGAGTCTCTCTCTGAAAAAAAATGGAACCTCGCATTGTCTTACTCCAGACTACCTCATGAACGCACTCTCCTCCCACCCACGCCCTTCTCTGCTTGTTTAGTGCTGACCCCCTCGCCAGTGCCACAGAGCTTCTCTGTGGCTGCTTCCTTTCATTGGTTCTCCAGTTGTCTCCTGTTTGCACCCATTCATTTCTCTCTCCTTTTGCTATTCTGTTCTGCAGCTATATCCTTGTGCAAACACTTGTCCTGATTCTGCAAATAGTTGAGCACATATGTAGCTCTACTCACAGCAGCAGACCCGTTGGGAGTAAAGTCAAGCACATGTTCAAGTGTTTGCAGCATCATGGTCACATTTGGTAACACTGGCTTGTTATGGTTAGCTCGAGCACTTCTCTGTAACCCTTTAATGGTGATGCCCAGATGCTGAATGTCCTGATGCAAAAATCAGAAATCTATATGCTTCACTGAGTACCAGCACTGTCAGAGGTTTTCGATATATCCAGGGACTCTTCCCTCAGGAGAAAACCATGAGTTTTGAAGCTTTAAATAAAGTCTTCAAACACCTTTCGGCACCATCAGTAGCAGATGAATACCATGTTGGCCAGAGAAAGCAAGGACATCTGGACCGACACTACAGTCTAAGGAACCACTAAAATGGAACCAGGGATGCAGGCAGTAGTTATCATCACCTTGCTTTGCAGATAAGGTTACAGTCCTGATCACCGTCCGTAGGTTTTCCTTTTCCGGACCAGGAATGGTCTGGGATTGGAGTGGATAAACGGAAACTCCAGAGGGGCCTTCTGATCAGAGCAAACAAAAATATATTAAGTTAGCGGGGAAAAAAGTTTATAAAAAGCCACTCCCTTTCCACATGAGGAAAAACAGACAAGAGTTACTTTATTCCCAGCAAACTGATTTTAAATCACTTCAACAAAAACTTTATATGCAAATTGAAATCAAGGCTCAGATCATGCAACTGAGGGTGTGTAAAAACACCTTTATGAACAGACCTCACACTCAGTCAGTTGCATATCTGGGCCAAAAGAGAAGAGTAAATACAAAAGACTGCACAGAATAGTCCTAGCCTACGCTTGGCCAGCTATCCAGATGCTTCAGGGGGGAGAGATACATAATGCACAACAGCATGAGAGTATATTCTTGTACCCTTCTCATTTGGACTTTACTCCCTGCTTTAGAGGGCCTGACTAATACGAGAGAGCTTGTGCCATCTGGATTCTGCTTTTAACACCTGAACTATTTTTAAGCCATTTTTTCTGAAAGTAAAAATTATCCCAACAGATTATCCCAACCAAAAAACCCTGCAAGTCAACTTGTGCATTTCCCATGCAGGAAAAACTGTTCTCTCTCTTGAAACAGGAGGGCCACTGAATTTGGGAGGGAGGGAGAGTAACTCACCACCTTGTTTTTGTGATTTTTCCTTCATTTTTTTGGACTTGATTTCTTCAAGTGTTTTTATTCCAAAATTCAAACTGTTATCTGAAAATGCAGAAGTGTGAATGAACCCAAAACGTAAAAGCAATGGTGCATATCTATGAATACAGACCAAGCTTCTTAGCATTTACTGCTTTTTCCAAAAAATAAATTAAAAAAAAAATCACGAAAAAACAGACACGAAAGAAAAAAAAAACAACCTTATGTTCATGGCCACAGAATTTGGGATAGTTTGTAGGTTGCTTGGTCTCACAAAAGAGCAGAAGCTGCATTTTTAAGAATTACCAACATCTGCGCTATTAGTCACTTGGCTTACTTTTAAGAGGGTTTTGTTTGTTTGTTTTTTTAAACAGTGTGGGGAAATCCAGGCTTTGAACTCCCCTTTGGTCTCCTGTGACAGCTAAGTCACAGAGATGCTCACCTTCCAGAGGCATTCTGTGTTCCCATTTCCACCCCTCACCTCACTGTTCTTCCACAATATACGGCTTTCTGAACTAGCTGCAGTATACTTCTTCAGCTGTCAGAAGATGCTACCGCATGACCATACAAATACCCCCTTTCCCTACAGAACTTCCTTGGTGATGTCTGTTTAAGGAGTAAGAACCTCAAAACTACACCTGCATGGTAATTTAAAGATTTAGGGAGTGATCTTCCGCCATCTTACACTGGTGTAAATCAGGAATAACTCCACTGAAATCAGTGGAGTTACCCAGTCAACATAAGGTGGTCTAGCCTGATGACCTACATGTTAACTCATGGACCACTCCATATGCTCCTAAAGCTAGCAAGATTTAATGTAAGCATTGATTACCAAGATGAATTTTTAAAAAGGTAACCTGAAAAGTCACGCTATCATTGCCTGTTTAAATGGCTTCTGGGATTGCTCAACATAAACCAAAAGCATTTGAAAAAAGAATGAGCTAAGCATTGACTGAGCTATCCTGTTTGTGACTGCAGAAGAGTGGCTGATACCCAAGGATCACCTTACTTAGCCCTGGTCTACACTAGGACTTTAGATCGAATTTAGCAGCGTTAAATCGATTTAAACCTGCACCCGTCCACACAATGAAGCCCTTTATTTCGACTTAAAGGGCTCTTAAAATCGATTTCCTTACTCCACCCCTGACAAGTGGATTAGCGCTTAAATCGACGTTGCCGGCTCGAATTTGGGGTACTGTGGACACAATTCGATGGTATTGGCCTCCGGGAGCTATCCCAGAGTGCTCCATTCTGACCGCTCTGGACAGCGCTCTCAACTCAGATGCACTGGCCAGGTAGACAGGAAAAGAACCGCGAACTTTTGAATCTCATTTCCTGTTTGGCCAGCGTGGCAAGCTGCAGGTGACCATGCAGAGCTCATCAGCAGAGGTGACCATGATGGAGTCCCAGAATCGCAAAAGAGCTCCAGCATGGACTGAACGGGAGGTACGGGATCTGATCGCTGTTTGGGGAGAGGAATCCGTGCTATCAGAACTCCGTTCCAGTTTTCGAAATGCCAAAACCTTTCTGAAAATCTCCCAGGGCATGAAGGACAGAGGCCATAACAGGGACCCGAAGCAGTGCCGCGTGAAACTGAAGGAGCTGAGGCAAGCCTACCAGAAAACCAGAGAGGCGAACGGCCGCTCTGGGTCAGAGCCCCAAACATGCCGCTTCTATGATGAGCTGCATGCCATTTTAGGGGGTTCAGCCACCACTACCCCAGCAGTGTTGTTTGACTCCTTCAATGGAGATGGAGGCAATACAGAAGTAGGTTTTGGGGACGAAGAAGATGATGAGGAGGAGGTTGTAGATAGCTCACAGCAAGCAAGCGGAGAAACCGGTTTTCCGACAGCCAGGAACTGTTTCTCACCCTAGACCTGGAGCCAGTACCCCCGAACCCACCCAAGGCTGCCTCCTGGACTCAGCAGGCGGAGAAGGGACCTCTGGTGAGTGTACCTTTTAAAATGCTATACATGGTTTAAAAGCAAGCATGTGAAAGGATTACTTTGCCCTGGCATTTGCGGTTCTGCCTTTGCAAAAGGTTTCTGGGGAGGGCAGCCTTATTTCGTCCTTCATGGTAGGACACTTTACCACTCCAGGCCAGCAACACGTACTGGGGAATCACTGTAGAACAAAGCATTGCAGTGTATGTTTGCTGGCATTCAACCAAAATCCGTTCACGCGGTGGGAGGAGGCAAAATGCGACCTTGTAACGAAAGCACATGTGCTATGTATGTAATGTTAACTTTCAAGGTTTACCCTGAAAGAGTGTAGCCACTGTTTTATAAAATGTGTCTTTTTAAATACCGCTGTCCCTTTTTTTTTTCTCCACCAGCTGCATGTGTTTCAATGATCACAGGATCTTCTCCTTCCCAGAGGCTAGTGAAGCTTAGAAAGAAAAAAACGCACTCGCGATGAAATGTTCTCCGAGCTCATGCTGTCCTCCCACACTGACAGAGCACAGACGAATGCGTGGAGGCAAATAATGTCAGAGTGCAGGAAAGCACAAAATGACCGGGAGGAGAGGTGGAGGGCTGAAGAGAGTAAGTGGCGGGCTGAAGAGAGTAAGTGGCGGGCTGAAGACAGGGCTGAAGCTCAAAGGTGGCGGCAGCGTGATGAGAGGAGGCAGGATTCAATGCTGAGGCTGCTGCAGGACCAAACCAGTATGCTCCAGTGTATGGTTGAGCTGCAGCAAAGGCAGCTGGAGCACAGACTGCCACTGCAGCCCCTCTGTAACCAACCGCCCTCCTCCCCAAGTTCCATAGCCTCCACACCCAGACGCCCAAGAACACGGTGGGGAGGCCTCCGGCCAACCAGCCACTCCCCCACAGAGGATTGCCCAAAAAAAAGAAGGCTGTCATTCAATAAATTTTAAAGTTGTAAACTTTTAAAGTGCTGTGCTTAAAGTGCTGTGTGGCATTTTCCTTCCCTCCTCCACCACCCCTCCTGGGATACCTTGGTAGTCATCCCCCTATTTGTGTGATGAATGAATAACGAATGCATGACTGTGAAGCAGCAATGACTTTATTGGCTCTGCAAGCAATGATTAAAGGGAGGAGGGGAGGGTGGTTAGCTTACAGGGAAGTAGAGTGAACCAAGGGGCGGGGGGGGTTCATCAAGGAGAAACAAACAGAACTTTTACACCGTAGCCTGGCCAGTCATGAAACTGTTTTTCAAAGCTTCTCTGATGCGTACCGCGCCCTCCTGTGCTCTTCTAACCGCCCTGGTGTCTGGCTGCGCGTAACCAGCAGCCAGGCGATTTGCCTCAACCTCCCACCCCGCCATAAACGTCTCCCCCTTACTCTCACAGATATTGTGGAGCACACAGCAAGCAGTAATAACAGTGGGAATATTGGTTTCGCTGAGGTCTAAGCGAGTCAATAAACTGCGCCAGCGCGCCTTTAAACGTCCAAATGCACATTCTACCACCATTCTGCACTTGCTCAGCCTGTAGTTGAACAGCTCCTGACCACTGTCCAGGCTGCCTGTGTACGGCTTCATGAGCCATGGCATTAAGGGGTAGGCTGGGTCCCCAAGGATACATATAGGCATTTCAACATCCCCAACAGTTATTTTCTGGTCTGGGAATAAAGTCCCTTCCTGCAGCTTTTGAAACAGACCAGAGTTCCTGAAGATGCGAGCATCATGCACCTTTCCCGGCCATCCCACGTTGATGTTGGTGAAACGTCCCTTGTGATCCACCAGAGCTTGCAGCACTATTGAAAAGTACCCCTTGCGGTTTATGTACTCGGCGGCTTGGTGCTCCGGTGCCAAGATAGGGATATGGGTTCCGTCTATGGCCCCACCACAGTTAGGGAATCCCATTGCAGCAAAGCCATCCACTATGACCTGCACATTTCCCAGGGTCACTACCCTTGATATCAGCAGATCTTTGATTGCGTGGGCTACTTGCATCACAGCAGCCCCCACAGTAGATTTGCCCACTCCAAATTGATTCCCAACTGACCGGTAGCTGTCTGGCGTTGCAAGCTTCCAGAGGGCTATCGCCACTCGCTTCTCAACTGTGAGGGCTGCTCTCATCTTGGTATTCATGCGCTTCAGGACAGGGGAAAGCAAGTCACAAAGTTCCATGAAAGTGCCCTTACGCATGCGAAAGTTTCGTAGCCACTGGGAATCGTCCCAGACCTGCAACACTATGCGGTCCCACCAGTCTGTGCTTGTTTCCCGAGCCCAGAATCGGCGTTCCACAGCATGAACCTGCCCCATTAGCACCATGATGCATGCATTGTCAGGGCCCATGCTTTCAGAGAAATCTGTGTCCATGTCCTGATCACTCACGGGACCGCGCTGACGTCGCCTCCTCGCCCGGTATCGCGTTGCCATGTTCTGGTGCTGCATATACTGCTGAATAATGCGTGTGGTGGTTAATGTGCTCCTAATTGCCAAAGTGAGCTGAGCGGGCTCCATGCTTGCCGTGGTATGGCGTCCGCACAGAAAAAAGGCGCGGAACGATTGTCTGCCGTTGCTCTGACGGAGGGAGGGGCGACTGACGACACGGCTTACAGGGTTGGCTTCAGGGAGCTAAAATCAACAAAGGGGGTGCCTGTACATCAAGGAGTATTTCAGGCAGGACTGCACGGAGGGTTCCAATAAGAAATGGTGCACCTAAGTTATCGTTGTTATTGGAACAAGGAGGTTAGCCTGGCCTCTGATTGATACATGGCTAGATTTACCTCGCTGCACCTTCTCTGTGAGTGACTGCAGTGTGACCTAGAGGAATGAGTCCCCTAGACAGGGGAGGAGGCAAATGAGTACAAAACAAATCTGGTCTATTTCTTGTTTTGACCCACTCCATCTATCTTTTACATCTTTGGCTGGCAGCAGACGGTGCAGAAGGACTGCATGCCATCCACATCTCATGGCTGCTTGGCAGAAGATGGTACAGTACGCCTGCTAGCCATCCCCATCTCTTGCCTGCCTGGCAGAAGATGGTGCAATACGACTGCTAGCAATCCTCATCTCTTGCCTGCCTGGCAGAAGATGGTACAGTACGACTGCTAGCAGTCCGTATCGCCTGCCTGCTCACCATAAGACGGTTCAATAGGACTGACTGCAGGACTAAAGAGAATGACCTGGTCAAGTCACTCCAAATTTAGTCCCTGCGCCCATGTCTGCCCAGGCGCTCCCAGCCGACGCGGCCAGGAGCACCTCGGACACGATGAGGACGACTACCAGTCGTATTGCACCGTCTGCTGCCAGAAGGCAAGGGGTTGCTGCTACTGTGCAGCAAAGCCGTACCGCGTCTGCCAGCACCCAGGAGACATAGGGTGACGGTTACCTGAGCGGGCTCCATGCTTGCTGTGGTATGGCGTCTGCACAGGTAACTCAGGAAAAAAGGCGCGAAATGATTGTCTGCCCTTGCTTTCACGGAGGGAGGGAGGGAACGGGGGCCTGACGACACGTACCCAGAACCACCCGCGACAATGTTTTAGCCCCATCAGAGCGCTCCATTGTGACTGCTCTGGACAGCACTCTCAGATGCCCGATTGTTTGCCATTGCTCTGACGCTGGGAGGGGCGCTTACAGGGTTGGCTTCAGGGAGCTAAAATCAACAAAGGGGGTGGCTTTACATCAAGGAGTATTTCAGGCAGGACTTCACAGAGGGTTCCAATAAGAAATGGTGCACCTAAGTTATTGTCCTTATTGGAGCAAGAAGGTTAGCCTGGCCTCTGATTGATACATGGCTAGATTTACCTCGCTGCACCTTGACTGCAGTGTGATCTAGAAGAATGAGTCCCCTAGACAGGGGAGGGGGGAAGCAAATGAGTACAAAACAAATCTGGTCTATTTCTTGTTTTGACCCACTCCATCTATCTTTTACATCTTTGGCTGGCAGCAGACGGACTGCATGCCATCCACATCTCATGACTGCTCGGCAGAAGATGGTACAGCACGACTGCTAGCAGTCCGTATCGCCTGCCCGCTCACCATAAGACGGTTCAATAGGACTGACTGCAGGACTAAAGAGAATGACCTGGTCAAGTCACTCCAAATTTAGTCCCTGTGCCCATGTCTGCCCAGGCGCTCCTGATCGACCTCACAGAGGCGACCAGGAGCACCTCAGACATGACGATGACGGCTACCAGTCGTACTGTACCGTCTGCTGCCACAAGGCAAGGGGTTGCTGCTACTGTGTAGCAATGCCGTACCGCGTCTGCCAGCACCCAGGAGACATAGGGTGACGGTTACCTGAGCGGGCTCCATGCTTGCCATGGTATGGCGTCTGCACAGGTAACTCAGGAAAAAAGGCGCGAAATGATTGTCTGCCCTTGCTTTCACGGGGGGAGGGAGGGAACGGGAGGCTGACGATATGTACCCAGAACCACCCGCGACAATGTTTTAGCCCCATCAGGCATTGGGATCTCAACCCAGAATTCCAATGGGCAGCGGAGACCCAGGCAACATAAGGTGGTCTAGCCTATGACCTACATGTTAACTCATGGACCACTCCATATGCTCCTAAAGCTAGCAAGATTTAATGTAAGCATTGATTACCAAGATGAATTTTTAAAAAGGTAACCTGAAAAGTCACGCTATCATTGCCTGTTTAAATGGCTTCTGGGATTGCTCAACATAAACCAAAAGCATTTGAAAAAAGAATGAGCTAAGCATTGACTGAGCTATCCTGTTTGTGACTGCAGAAGAGTGGCTGATACCCAAGGATCACCTTACTAAGGAGCTCAGCCAATAGCTAGAATTAAGGATTTTGCCAGGCAAACCACAGGGGTGGTCATTTATTACATTTGACCAACGCCTAACACAATGGGGTCCAAGAGCCAACCTGGCTGTGACCTTCAGGAGCTCCTGCAATATAAACATTAAATACCTTGTTTTGAATTAGCACTGGATTTCCGAGTAGAAATTATCCGCAATCCATTATGGGTTTCTGTAGCTGGCTGCTGAACAGGTGTTTTAGTTTCATCTCCTTCTTCAGAAAGCTGATCTGAAAGGGACAAAATGTTAGTTCACACACAATTAGCATCAGGAATTGGACAAGACTGTGTGCACTTTGGGGCAGGGAAACCAGGAACCTTTTTGTTCTGGTTGCATACAGCAGCTGGCACAATGGAGTCATGGTTCATGACTGGGGCTTCTAGGTGCAATGGTAATACAAATAACTAATAACCAAATCTCGTGTTTTCAGATATCAGACCATGCACTTACGCAGCACATTTCATCTAAGGGGTGAGTACTCTCTTCATTATGCAAAAGTGGAGGTATTGGGAGGTTAAGGCCAAAATGGCCAGGGTTTTTGGGTGCTCAACTTGAGCACCCAACAGCTCCCTCTGACTTCAAACAGTGGCCACTTAAAAAAAGTTGGCCTAAGCGACTTGCCCAAGTATGGCCATGTCAGAACTAAGATCTAGGTCTCGTGACTCAGTTCCTAGCTCTTAATCGCTCGACAAGGCTACTTTCTAGATTGCCTATAAGGGGAATGGTGCTTAAGGATGAAATTCCCTTCCTGTTTCCTTGTACAACAAGAGTTTAGAAAAGCTTTCCTTCAATATTCCAGGTATTGGCCATAGCCCAGTGCAGAATGCTAGACTAGAAACACCACAGGACTGACCATGTAAACTGAAGGTTGATTACTAGGACATAGCAAATGCATCAGTGCTGTATGTATTTATTTAAATATAGGAGCTAAAATCTGCTCACCATCATCATCTTCATCATCATCTGCAGCATTGATTACGACTGGAGGATGAGTGGGGCTGGGGACGTTTTCAGAGTTTTCCACTTTCATCACCCCCCGCAGCTGGGGGGAGGGGTTGGACTGGACAGACAGTTTATTCTGCTGCAGCGAGATCTGGGTCACCTTCACCTCCTCTTCTACACACTCAGTCATACTTGGCAACACAGCTAGAAGAACAGTAGAAACACCTGTAAATTGCCTATTTAAAACCTTGAATCCAACGCTTCATTCACTTCAAAATCTCAATGCATATAAACTTCCAGCCATGCTGAACTTTCCTTCACTATGAGAGAAGAGACTCCGCTCAGTATGGCTATGCCAGGTGAGAGCGCATGGATGTTTGGCTATTATTTTTACAGCCCCACAAAGCTATATCTCTTCGCACCTATTGAAAGGTTGAGTGAGATGAGGGTAGCCTAAAACAGAAGGAAAATATTAATAAAAAAGGGAGAGAAGCAGCTAAGCATAAAAAAATTGGGTGAAATCTCCACTGCTATTCATTTCAGCCTTGACTACAGCTGGAGGCCCATTTCTTGTGCTCAGGATCAGCAGCTGGCTGGTACAAGTCACCTGTTGTACAGCACCGATGCTGCTATATAAGTAACAAATTTACTTCATATTTTGATAATATCAAGGCTTCTTGTCTCACAAAGAAAAACTGACCAAGGTGGGGGATACTTTGACTATTGGGCCAACAAGTTTTAATATCGACCTCAAGAGACAGTATTTGTTTTTTAATAAAGCAAATAATGTAATATTTGATGCAGTGGTCTCGACATTGGTTTTTAAATAAGTATTTTTGACATTTTAGGTCAGACCAGTGTTCCATTTGAAACCATTACAGATTTTAATTTCTACCATGAACAATTGAGCTGCCTTTGTTTTTCAACTACCAATAGCAGGAGCACTCGGAAATATCTGTGCAAGTAAAAGTCAAGAGGTCAATTCTACAAGCCTTCAGGGATTTGGGAAGAATTGCCAAAGGAGAAAAATGAAACAACTCACTTTTGCTTGGAGGTAGAAAGAGTCCATCAACGTAGCGTCCCTTGTTGTGATGGAAAGCGCAATTTAATTTCTTACAGCCAACTGGCTGGTTCTCCCAGTAGCAAGGGATCTCACTGCGTTTTTTCTTCAGACAGACAAAACAAAGACCCACATTAAAGTCACCTTGGAAAAGCTACAGAGTCATGCAGTTATCAGATGGCATCCAAGTGGCATAGAACTCTCACAGAACAATCACAATGCAATATTATGACTTCAGTTCACAGGTCAAACATGTCATAAAGATAAAATATTTCAATATACCATTAGGACATCACTTCATAACTGAAACAAAAATCCAATCTAGTGCTCTGGGCACATATACAATCTTTACAAAAACTATGAAAATGACAATTTTGCATCTGTTTGTCACTACACTTCCTCTTTCCTTTCTCCGCTTTCCAGCCTATCCTAGCCCCCGACAAAAACTGTGTAGAAAACTGGAGAAGTCAGAGATGGAAGAGACACATTAATCACATCTAGTTCATCTCCCAAAGGGCCAGTGCAGGATTATTCCCGAGTGCTAGGGCCACCGCAATTTTAAGTAATACAACCAATGTGACTACTGCCACTTCCACTGAAGAGACTATTCCAGTGTCTAGTAGGTATCACAGCAAGGAGTTGTTTTCTAACAAGCTTAAATTTTCTTAAAATTCATCCCTTTACTTTGATCAGTGGAGGCCAGTGTTGCTTAGAGCAGGCAAAACTGATACGTAAAAGCGAACCCACTCTATGCTCTTTGCTTGCTACTGTAAATTATCACTCCAATTCAAAGCAAATTACAAGCACCAGATAAAAAGCACGGTCTGAAAACGTACTTGCAAAATGAACACTTACATCAATCTCCATATGCCTAAACCTGCAAATACTCCTGAAGCAGCGCCCTTCCTGCCAGAGTGTGCAGACAGTCTCGTTTCCGAGTGCAGCTTCACAGTGACGAAAGGGACAACCATCCCCCTATGCAAATGGGACAAAAGCAAATAAGAGGTTGCAATCTGAAAAACCCAGGAACAAAGACAGCTGTAAAAGTGGGACTTTCTGACTGAAGGAAAAAGGCTCAGTGACTGAACTGATCCTAGTGTGGGGGAATGGAAAGGCAGATGAATCAAGAAGAAGAAACGGAGCAATGGATGAGATGTGCATTCTCAGGAAGGCAGAAATAATTAATTCTATGGAAACATTTTGAAAGGTCCTTCCTGACATTATTTTAAACCACTGTCTTAACATCAGACAAACACTTTAGAGGTGGCCACGATGAAACAAGTCAGGATATACTGTGGATGCGATACAAGAACAAGATAAATCAATAACCACTTCATAAAAAAAAAACAACACACAAAAATGATTAACATCTACATCCCTATTCCCTACAGCCAACCTCAACCATCTTACTGTTGCATTTACACTTGATAGAATTCTGTTTACTGTATCATCCTTAAGAGCTATAGTTATTAGTGTTAAATTTTAAATTGAGCTATTTGTGCCACATTAAGAAATTCAAAAATTAGGCAGCAATCAACATGGAGTGGGTCAAGCACGATGCCTGCAGCTCTTGAAAAACGGCATGCCATTGCAAAAATAGAAACTCCCCTCCTGCCACAAAAAAAGGCACAAATGTTTCTGCATCTGTTCATTGGCCTTAGTCAGGTCTATAACTTCTGGATCTTATTTATTTAACAATGAAACAGCATACAGAGTAGACACAATAGGATATGGATTTTTTTTTCATAGCTGGTTCATTGGGCCCAATAAGCAATAGTTAGCTCTAAAGAGAAGCAGAATGGTTTAGCTGACTGAAGGAGTCAGGCGCTCGAGTTCCAATCCATCACTGACATTGACTCCCTCCACAGCTTGGGCAAGTTGCTTCAATTCCATGTCTCGATTTACCTATCTTTACAAGGAGTTAATGCCAACATCACAAGCAATTCGTAGGGATTAGCAACCAACTGTTTGAAAAGTGTTAATCAGTATTACTGCTTGATAAAAACAGGAGGAGGGGTAAAGATTAATTCTCTACACAGATGACCTTGCATTATTTTTCTACCTTGAAATTTATTGCTTTCCATAACAGATGGCTAGGTGTAATAAAACAAGACTGGAAAACAGGATATGAAACCAGCTAGGACATTTCAGGATAGATTCTACTTTCAAATCTAACTATGAGACATGTATTAAATTATCTGAGAAACTCTGTTCATTTCAGTTGTCTTACCTTGGTACAGGTGGAATAGAAATAGAAGTAGCAATCATCTCCTTGTTTAGACATGCTGGACAGATTGTTAGAACAAGCTTAAGTTATCAGGGTTATTGCTCCGCACAGACTTCTTCCTCTCTTAGTGAAAATGGGCTTCACCCGTTCTTCTTCAGACGTGATCAGTGAAATCTTCTTTAAAAAGTAACCTTGGAGAAGATGGTTTGAGGGGAATTTTAAAATAAAAAAATCAGATCATCATCAAGTGACAAGTAACTTTCCCTCTTTCTTGCACCAATGCCATTTAATGAGTTTGAAGGGACAGTGTTAACTTGACTACCTTGAAACCGATCAGTTCCAAAAAAACAAAACAAAAAAAACTCCAGTTCTGAAGTACTTTCAAATCATGAGTTTTCTCTGTGGTTTAAAATAAAATAATGATTTTTCTATGTCCTTATTGACATTAAAAAGTTTTATTCACATAGAACAAACTGTGCTCCATACAGAGGTAAGTGCAGGATGGGAGGCCTACCTCTGAAGGAATGAATTGTGTCTGGGAAATATCTCTGGATGATTAACTATTGTTATAAGTAATAGTCTCTTAAAAAAAAAAATACAGCTTCAGTTATGAGCCCTCCCTCCCCACCCCTACGCTATACCAAGGGGAAATTAGACATCTATAGCTTAACATACCTGGATAACCTCGGCAAGAACGTTGGTCTTCAAAGACTTCCAATTAATTTCTCCTGTAGGCCGAACCAACACTCAATCCGTGAATTAATAATAAAGGGATAGAAAGAATTTTCTCCTCACATTGCCAAGGAAATCTCATCCACAATTCAGACACAGGCTGTGCTTTTAAACATCTTACAACTACTGGAGGAAGCAAGTCCATTCAAATACTCTCTGTCAGACTGGAGACAGCGAGGGTTAGTTAGCTCTTCAAAAAACAGTTCATTTAAAGATGAACTTGTGAGTCAAAGTGGCTGCAAAAATGAAGATCCATCTTCCACAGCCGGACAGTTTAAATTTTTTTTTTTTTTTAATTTAAAACTCAATAAGTTCCAATTTCTGGTCTTCAAGATTTCTTCACCTATTAAGAAAACACAAAAACCTTCCCCCATCTTTATTACCTGTATAGCAAAAACATACTTGTATGTATAAACATACATATGTATATACATATATACAAATGTGTTTATACACACACACCAATATATTCAAACGTGGTAATAAAAATGATATATTTGGGCTATTTGTCACTTAAGTGACATCATAAATGCATCATAAAGTGTCTCAATTTGGGGGAAACAGCAAAAATTGAGGGGTTATAAAAAGTGTCACAAATACACTTTCAGGCCAATGCTTTATAATATGGGCAAGTTTGGATTGGGCACATAAATATACACATGTATGTACATGCATACAGTATATCCATATTTATACAAAGTATGCATAGTCTGATATCCATATTGTAAAGAACAACTTGTAGCTCTGATCAGATATTTAAAGTTGCAATCAAGTGCAGAAACACAGCAGTTCTAGAATACAGCAAGCTGTAAGAAGCAGGGAAACGCTCAGTTTTGAAGAGGCACAGCTGCATGAGACACAATTTGGAAATATTTTAATTTTGATTTTTGGAAGCCAATTTTAATTTATTTGATTTTTTCAAATACTACTGGTTTGTGACCATATACTGTTCCCTGGTACATATATCCACCATTATCCATCGCTGTGAGATGGCAAAGGTCTGAAAGGATGGCTTGGGTCCAATTCTTAGCAGCCAATGACTTTGACACCATAAGGAGCCTAAAGGTGTTTCCAGTTACCACAAACAGTTTAATTTCACTGTGAAATGAGACATTTCAGTTTTCTTATTTTTACTGAATGCCATAAAACCTGCCTTTTTGACCATTAGATCTAAACGTAAGAGATTCCAGTTCCTGTGTCATTAAAAGTGCTGAGGGACACAAGGTGGGTGAGGTAATGTCTTTTCTTGGACCAGCTTCTGTTGGTGAGAGAATTTGGTCCAATAAAAGATATGACCTCACCCACTTTGTCTCTCTAATATCCTGGGACTGACACGACTTCAACAACACTGCCTACATTAAAAACACTGAAACATTTCTCTGGTAATTCTCTTCCAATTCTACCTTAGAAGAAATTGAATGAAATAGTTCTTACAAATTAATAATAAAAGATCAGACCTTTTATTCTCATGCACTAGTGAATTTTTCCAGGATTTTTTTTGGGGGGGGGGGGGGGGGGGGGGGGGAAGAAGAGAGGGAGAAAAGAGAGGGAGTTTCCATAAATCTAAAATAATGAGAGGAAATGTTGGGTTCTTGTATTAGTTATCAGTTTTAAACTCTTAACAAGGGGAATTAAAAAAAGGTAAGAATCAATCTCTGTCCTTCCCTTAGTATCTAAATAATTACTCACTTTTGACTTTTGTTGCCTTTACAACTGGATTTTGTATCCCAGGTAACTTTTGTCTACCTGTATCTAACTACACTAATGTTCCCTCAGTGTGCAATTAACATACATTAGATACAGGGAAGTTTTGCCATATTCACTTTCACTAATATCCTCCAGAATTCAATGCAATTTCAAAGTGTGAAATGCCTCCACATAAACCAAAACTTATTTCTTGGCAAGTAACAGACAATGCCTCCTGGTCTGTCTGATAACGTGCTATTTTTGATTATTTCTTTCAATGCATTTGCATATTACCTTCCATACTTTGGCACATACTTAGTACTTTGCACACAGTCCAGGGTTTGAATTAGCCTCACTGAAATTATACTACTAAGCAACTCAGGTCTCTCAGTTCTATACAAGCACCACAATGAAAAAATGTTAACACAGAAACTAGACTTTAAAAAAATTTAAAAAAAAAAATGTTTTAAACAACTTTAGTCAGAACAGCAATTTAAATATTACAGAAAATCAACTGAGCTAACCCCTTAAAGCTTAAAATAAGTGAACAACTCTGGCGCACTCAGCAAGCTTGCATCAGAAATTGATTAAGAACTTCAAAGCCAATCAAATCCCGAGAATTACACTGGTGTTCACATTGAGATTGAGCTGTGGTTTGCATTGTAATTTCATTTTGTACAGGAGCTTAGTTATATCAAAACAATCATTCGAGACCAGTGAGAAGAAATAAAAGGCGGGGGTCACACACTTCACCCTCACTAAAGGAAGACAAGAGTACAGTAAACATTTGCCCAGTTCATTTTAGAGCCCTGTCTTTCTCAACACTGAAAAACTATGCAAGTCACTCATCCATCTTTTCAGTTAGCCAGCCAGCATTAGTCCATGGCCTTTCAACAGTATGCTGGGGTTATGGGGGAGAGAAGTCCAGAGAGGGAACATCTTTATACCTTAATAGGTATCATTAAGGAGCACTATTCAGTGAGTGCTGCCAGCACCATGCTTATCAACTACAAACACCTACCTCGTGCTCTTTATGATTTTAAAGCATGAATCCTATTTTGCTCTCTCTTTATTATTGACCTGTTTTTGTATATTTATTTTTATTTAAAAAAAATATTTTCATTAATATTTATATTAAAAAACCTAGGTGGTGTTTATTAGGACAATGTGATTAGGACAATCTGAACACAAGATCAAATTTTAATCCCACTTTTCGCACTAAGTCAGGTGTCAGTTTTCTGGTCTACAAAATGGACATAATGCTTAATTTACCTACTTCATGGGGGCATTTGGAGGATGTTGTAAAATGCTCTTAAGATGGAAAGCACAAGAAGTGCTAGATATTAACAACCGTACAAGAACAGTACATAGCAGCACAAGTCCCAGCACTTCAAATGGTCCAGAGCGCGGAACAAACTGAAGCTGCCAACACTGGCTAAAACATCTCATCCTCGCTATTCTGAGTGATCTCATCCTCTGTGTCAAAGCCCAAGGCCAGAGTGGAATAGTCATAATTAATAGTTTTTAAGTTCATTTTAAGGAACATTAACTGTTCAATATTGTCAAAACCTGGACTAGCAGAGTGTTCTGAAACGAGGTGTCTGGCTGTGCTGAAGACACATTCAGAGTGCAGACTACAGGGTGGGCAGCTGAGATACTGAATAGCTACTCGGGTTAATGCAGGCCATCTTCTCAGTTTCCCCTGCCAGTAAGTCAGGGGGTCATCTTTAACTGTTAGCCCTGAAGACTCATCTTGAAAGTACTCTTCTACTACTGCTGCAGCTGATGGGCACAACAGCCTCTTCTTGCCTATTAAAGCTGCACCACTCGAAGAGAAGCCACTGAAGGGATTTGAACCAGAGTAATCTTCCTTACGGTGAAGAGCACAAGGATCGGTTCCTATAAGGGATGAATGGCCTGATAGTTCTGTAGCTTCCAAGGAGCAACCCTCCACCGAAGTGCACATATACTCAGATACTACTTCAATAAGGATCTGTTTATAGCTTATCAAGTCAGTACCTTGAGGAAGGAATTCTTCTAAATTGTCTTTAAAGCAGGGATCTAATAAAGTGGCCAAGATACAATGCTCAGAACTGAGCACAGCGCTCAGTCGGGAGTCAGTTTCGAGCCTTAGAGACAAGTCATCCACCAGCCCGAGAGCTACAGTGGCACCTTTGATTTGAAAGTCTTTTCGCATGTTCTGCAGAGTCAAAAGCAGGCGGCGAACTAATGGCAGTACATGACTAAGACCTGCAGTGCACATGCTCACTTCCTGAGTGGCTTCTTCAAACGGCTCAAGGATATCACACACGTGAGCCATCAGACACCACTGAAATGAGGTGAGGATGACCCCATCCACCCTCCCCACATGGTGTTGCATGGAATAGTCATGCACTGCCTTCTGCTGCTCTAAAAGTCGCCTCAGCATATAAAAGGTGGAGGTCCACTGGGTGGCTATCTCCTGCTTCAAGTTGTGCTGCGGAAGATGGTTTGCATGCTGGAACTCCTGCAAAATTTGACGGGCCTTGACAGAATGATTAAAATGATGGCAAATCTCTCGAGCAGCTACTAACATGCTCCTCGTGCTTTTGTGCTCACAGAGGAAGTCCTGAATTACTAAACTTAAACAATGAATAAAGCATGGCACTTGGGTAAAGTCTCCATCTCTCACTGCATGCACAACATTGGCAGTGTTGTCAGAAACTATGAAGCCAGGGGTGAGGGAATTGGGGGAAAGCCACACACCGATTTGGTAATTTAGTTCTTGTAAAATACTGGCTGCTGCATAATCTTTAGCAAAGCCAGTTACACAAAGAGCTGCCTGCTTCCTACAACTGGGAGTTTTGCTGGCACTGTGAGAGGAAGACAACAGCATTTCAAAAGACACCCAATGTGCCATCACTGTCAGATAGTCCGTGGTTGGTTCATGGGTCCACATGTCAATGGTTAAGTGAACTTTTTTGCACTCAGCTTTCTCCAGAGCCATGAAAACCTTTTCTCTCACAACATTGTATAACCGGGGCACAGCCTTTGTGGAAAAGTAAGTTCTAGAAGGCAGCTGATAGCCTGGTGCCACTATCTTCATGAATCTCTGAAAAGCAGGGGTAGAAAAAAATGAGTAGGGTTGCATATCCTCAATAATCAATTCTGTAATAGCCCTATTTATCTGCTGTGCAACTGGAATTTCGTGGTATTTAATTTTCTTCTCAGGAGCGGATGTTTGAGAGTCTTGCGGAGTCCCAAAGTTGGGACTTATGACCTTTCTTTTACCAAGCACTGGCTTAGGAGATAAAGTTGGCGCATGGACACCCAGGCCTTGAGATGTTAAACTGTAACTGGCTGTAAGTTTATCCCTCCGAGACGAGAAATAGCCTGAAAAGCTTCTGGGACAGAGAAGTGACAAGTCCATCTCCCTAGGACCAACAGAAAAATCCTCTACTGTTTCCTCATCTACACCGTTACCAATAGTGCCATTCCATTGGCTGGCCATGGCCCAGTGTACAGGATGCATGGCCTGCAGATGCCGTTGCAGCGTGGACGTGCCCAGGTGAGTGCCTGGCCTGCCTCGGCTGACACTCTTTTTACAGACATTACAAACCGCCCTGCAGGTATACTGAGGATCAATGTAGAAGAAGTTCCAGACGGCTGACGTCTTGGTCCTGGTTCCTGGCATCAGGACGCGTTTGACCGTATTGCTTTCAATGAGAAAACTCTCTCTGTCTTCTCCAGATGCACCAGAAACGACTATTGCTGCGGCTGCACTGGCTGCGGTCGTTGCACCTGTGGGACCCACATCTTTGGCAAATTTTTTGGAAAGTTCTGGCTTTCCTGGGTATAACTCATGAACCTGCAGTCCTTTCTTTCTTCTTTTTTTGCTGGAAAACTGGCTCAGTGCCTCTTCCACACTGTCGCTGTGAAAGTGAACACTGGGAATATATTCCAAACTCCCATTGCTGCTCAAACTGCTAAATCTGCTGTCAGGGGAGATTGGGGACACAGGCACATTAAAGGCATATTCCTCCTCCCCTGCGCTGCTTCCACCAGTAGCACTTATTTTATTAGCCATGGCCCAGTACACAGAATGCTTTGCTTGGAGATGCCGCTGAAGCGTCGACGTGCCAAGGTGGGTGCCTGGCTTGCCACGGCTCACGCTTTTTTTACAGAGGCTGCAGATGGCACGACAGGGGTACTGGGGATCAACGTGGAAGAAGTTCCACACGATGGAAGTCTTTGCTCTCGTACCAGGCAATAGAACCCGTCTTACTGTATTGCTCTCGATAAAGAAGCTCTCTCCATCTTGCTCAGAAGCACCAGGTATGACTACTGCAGCTGCAGCACCTGCCGGTCCCAGATCTTTAACAAACTTTTTAGACAGCACCAGTTTTTTATGGCGTGGCTTTCCCTTAGTCCGCAACCCCTTCTTTCCTTTATGTTTGGCAGGTTGCTCCACCCCTTCTGCCACCACCTTATCATCATCGTCAGTGCCAGAATGGGCACTGGGAATAAATTCCAGACTGCCCGCACTATTAAAAATGCTGCATCTACTGCTGGGGGAGACAGGGGAGACTGGCACACTGAAAGAATATGCACTCATTCTCTATTTCCAAAATTTATGCCAGAACTGAGAGTAATTTTACCATGGAAATATTGACAACTGATCTTGCCGCCCACTTAAGTGATCTTTTCTTGAGTGTCTGTAGCAGTCAACTTCCTCTTGAACCAGTTGCTTGAACGGGTAC